AAGAACCAAGAGACTCATGTAATAGTACAAGATCCCAATGATGAATGTAACTGTATTGTATACCTAAAATGTACCAATAAACTTAATGGGGGGGGGGGAAGGATGAAATCATGTCATTTATAGGAAAATGGATGGATCTGGATAGCATCATGTCAAGTACAATAATTCAGCCTCAGACAAGTATGTTTTCTTTTGTATGTGGAATCTAGAAAAAAACTGAAAACATGACATAAAAGTAGAAGGAAGACTGTTAGATCTGAGGAAAGGAATTAAGGAAAGATAAGGGGAGATAATAGGGGGTAGAAATGATCAATGTATGTATGTTATACGCATGTAGGAATATGCCAAAATGAAGCCCACTGTTCTGTACAATATACAGTAGTAAAAGGGTAAAAATGTGTAAGTATACAAATGAAAAAACACTTCCAACGTGAAAATAATTTCAAGATCAAAAGAATATTTTTAAAAAGCTCAAAAAAGTGAGCAAGAGATTACTTTAAAAATACTACAAGAACAAAAATGAGATACTAGGGATCCAAATAGAAACAACTGCCTCTGATTTGAACAATCAGAAAAGGGCCAAACTCTTAAAAATTAAATTTTTTTTTTGGTACAGGGGATCAAACTCGGGACCTTGCGCTTACAAGACAGGCGGTGGAACCACTGAGCTAAATCCCCAGCCCAAGTTTAGCACAATGAATAGAAGATAAAGATGGAAAAGGAGCTTCTAGAAAGTAAAACTGAAAAACCATGATGGATAACAGAAATTCAATCAGAAAACAGAGGATGAATTTAATAAGTCAAATAGCTCGAGTCTGAGAGAAAATTGAGAATACAGAGGGCATAAAATTAACAGAGAAATAATACAAGAACATTCTCCAAAATGTGGATTTCTGTAATGAAAGCAGAGTATCAATACAATGAAGAAGAAAAGGCCCACACCAAGATACATCACTAGGAAACCTCACCAGCTTGGAGAGAAAAAAGAATGTTCTAAAACGAATATCCCAAAAAATGTGAGAATATTAGGTCACAAATAATGATCTGGGAATAGGAATGGGCAACTCAATGGTAACACTGGAAGCTAGAAAAGAGCATGGCTCAATAACTAAAAATGTGAAGAAAACTTACCTAAAAAACAGACAGAATGCTATAACCAATCTATTAATCAAGTGTGATAGCACAATAAAAACATTTTCAAAAAATATAAAGAAATACAAAAAGTTACCTCTCATAAATCCTCAGAAAATAACTAGAATGTGCTCTATCAAAAGTTAAGCCAAGAGAAAGATAAGAGTCCAGGGTGAGGGAACATTCAGGATGACAACAAAGGAAAAAATTCCAGGACAACTGTAGACATTCAAGACAACAATCATTGTAGATTGGCCATCAGGTAGAAGGGCTTCATGAATGACAGATTTTCTAATTGTTTTGACAATGTACAAAGAGGAGCCCACACTTCTTTTTTCCCCCCTCTGACTTTCTATTCATAATCCTAAATTAGAGCCTGTATAAAGCATATTCTATATAGCTACAACTCTTATCTCTGCCTGGAATTTGCATTCCTCAGAGCCATATACCTTCCTCCTGATCAATTTCGAATAACAGCTTGTCATGAAGGCTGTCTCAAAATGTTCACACATCTTTCCTTCCCCCACCACACACATTGTTTCTCTAATCCAAGATTTTCTTTGTACTCATTATTCTTTTCACTATTATATTTATTTATTGACCATCAACTTGCCCCACCAAATGTAAGCTCCAAGAAGGCAGAGAAATTCTGTCTGTTTGTATAGAATGATATGTAGTAGGTGACTAAAATATATGCTTTGAATAAATGGCCAAAAGTTTAAAAAACAATCAGTAAAAAAATTAGGTCAACTGCTTAAGAATGTAGAAGTTGCAAAGTAAATGGAAATAAACGTATACTTCTTGGTTCAGAAGAGAATACTTAACATAATTAAAGTAATGAAAATACTATCTGTGGATTAACTGAAAATGGAAAGACAACAAGAGTAATGGAAGCTTGGTCTCCCTCTACTATCATAGTCAGGAGGTAATTTCTAAATTCAGTGACTCAAGAAATGACAATACTGTACATACTTTTGGGAATATGAAAGAATGAGAAAAAACAGCTTAAAGAGTTGTAAATGATTAACAGTCGAATTCATGAGACTGTTTTGTTATACATGGCAACTCTTTTTATATACACACATATCATCTGATAAAAATAAGTAAGGCCTGCACTTAAAAATGTCTTTCTTAAATTTTAAGAAAGCCTCATTGTTGATAATTCATATCACAATGATTGTTACACAGTACTCTGTAAATATCTGTTGCAAGAATGGACGGGTGTCAACTGTATTAAAGATGCAGAGAAAGTAGTTTTTAGGTTTCAGTGAAAACACACAGAAGTGTACGTTTTTGACAACAGAAAGATAAAATGCTTTATAATGACTTTGTTTTTGACAAATCACTCAAAAAATGAAAAACATAGACGCTTTTAAGTTATGGCTAGAAAGTACTGACAGATTTAAAATGTATAAAAGAAAAATGTTAAATTTTAGAAAATATTTATTGTAAATTACATTTTAATAGCCATCTACTGCCACCTAGTGACTACATCTGTAAGTACTGCCTGGTTAGCAACTGGAAAGTGGCTTTTTACACTTTTCATAGCCATCCTTCCATCTCAATTCACCAGCTAAATCCTGAACAAGAATATAAATGGAAAGGAAAAACACGCATCAAAGCTAAAGTTTTTTATTAATAATTTATTGTCAGTAAGAAAGATTGGCTAATGGTAGTTTTCAGTAAAAACCTTTACAAGACCATTGCATCACAAATATACAGACACTATAAAAACTGTGTCATGGTGGTTTTGGTTCTAAACAGGTATGCAGAAGGTCCCCATTACACTTTCCAATAATGAAAAATGTTTATAATTCTGAAATACAGCAACCCATTTAATACATGTGCATGTATCAGATCGTTCCTCTTCCTATATGTACAGCTAGAAATAAACGATTATACCGAAATGTGTTAATGAAATGTCATACTTCAGTGGAAAAGAACATACAGTGAAACCCTGGTTATATTAAAATCAGGGTGCTAGATCATGACACTAACACCATCCAAATCCAGCTGAAAACAAATGCACAAAATATCTTGAAAATCTAGTTAAAACTATGAAAAATCAAATCTGTACATTAAATTTACAAAAAAAGACAAAAAATTAAAATAAATCTATATAAATACATGAATCATGCTAACAAGATGGTAGGACTGATTTTTGTTTCATTATTTTAACACAGACAAATGTAAATACAAAAAGATGTTCAAAAATGACACAGCCAATGAGAATCTCACCAATTACAGTAGGTTAGGACACTGGAAATGGCTAACATATCAAGAGGCGCGTGATTCAGTGCACCCATGCCCATTTTAGCTCACTGAAAAGAAGCGCTTAAGAACTGCTGCAAAGAACAATGCAGATTATTGATATAATTTCTAGGTCCATTAAAGTCCAGGCACTTTGGGGGGGAGTTTGAGCGTCAGACTTCCGTATGTTGCTGGGAATCCAGTGGAGGAATTGTCACTTCTTCAAAGTGGCCATCGTCTCCACTCTCATAGTCACTCATCATGACCTCAGACTCCACTTCACAGCACGCTGACACATCTGAGCAGGAAGCTGTGGAAGCGTACACAGACATGGGCATGTTTTCTACAGTGGAAGCGTCAAAGTTTCTCTGATACCCTGGAGGGTAAGGGGCATAAGGTTCTCTACAAGTATTATTCTCACCAGTGCCTTTTTTTTGAGGTTCAGACATATCAACTGAATAGAAGTTGGGCAGATACTGATTCAAGTTGAACCTCTGCCGATTTCTGGATGAAGACCCCAAGCTACCTGCAGCAGGCATGTTTCTAGGTGAGTGTATAGACTCAAATTGATCACTGAATTCCGGAGGCAAGGGTGGCAGCTCATCAGGTGCAGGAAAGTCTTCTGGTGGTGGTGGAAAATCACTTTCAATATCATAACCTCCAGGGTAATAATCGGTATCAATGGCATTTGGATCTGCTGAGTACAGGGGAGTGTGCTCGTCAATCACCTCGTAATTGGGGAATTCCTGTATGTCTGGCAGAGGGACACTTGGCATCCAATCTGATGTGTCCCAATGGTACCCTGGGTAGGGAGAGAACAAGAAATTTCAGTGTGTCTTATCCTAAATTTCCGTGCCTTGGAAAAGAGAGTCTGGTGTATCAGAGACACAAAGATGCACATGTTTTTGTTCAAAGCTCATCACTTTGGAACTTGCAGTTTTAGTACACACCTAACATTTAAGGAAAGGAAACAAATTCCAACAGAAGCAGTCTGTAGCATCTAAATTACATGCACTTTTCTATAGACAATTCAAATTACCTTTTCACCATTCCTTCTGTCACTTACAACTTACTGCGCTATATGAAGAAAGTATTTAGTTCAATCCTAAGACATTAGTTACTAAGTTTAGTCTTTTCACAAAGAAGTCTCCACTGAGTAAAATATCAAATGTTACTTGATCTGTACTTGATGTGTCATTAAATAAAATACTAATTAACATGACTTGTTAAAATACTAAAAGTAACCTTTAATGTTAAAATTTAGAGAGTAAACTTTCTTTATAATAACATAGTAAGCGTAATATTTAACAGAAGGCAAGCTGTAAAGGTGATCTGAATTGTCTGTAGAAAAATGCATGCAATTTAGATGTTACATACAGTTTCTGCTGGAATCTCCTTTCCTTAAATTCCTAAAACAACAAATTATCTTTAGACAGATATATTTCAAAGCATGCTTCCAAATCAAGCAGAATACAACCAAACAAGGGTTGGAAAATACAAAAGTTTTTGATAGACAATAACAACAACAACAACAACAGCAACAACAATCTTTATGCTTTGAAAATGGATCAAAAATCATTTTAGATTGTGTCATTACTTTAAAAAAAAACCTCCCAATTTCAGGACAGTTTTTTTTTCTTCTTAGGATTTTAAAAATCCTTTGACAGGCAGGAAAAGGTTAGGTGAGATGTGCTTCAAATCCAGTGCACAACAACCAGGGACTTGTTTGGTGCTGCAAACACTGAGCGACCAAGCAAAGCAAGTCAGCACTGAGGGCGAATCATTACCAAATGCTTTTAGTGATTATCAATGAACAACTGGCATGCATAAGTCACCTCTTGATTTGCTGAGGTCAGGAGCAGCCAAAGATTCTTTTGGAGGCAGAGTAGAAAGAAAAGAAAACATTGATAATTAAAACAGACAGCTGAAAAGGCAACAAAGGTAAGCACACAGTACAATGTAAACTCTTTGTAAAGGCCCAGTCAGCCGTATAGTATGTCTTTATGCTATTCTCCATAAAAATTCCAAATGGCTGAGAAACTTATGTAGTACAAATAAAATGGGATCTAGAAACACAAGACAAAGATGAGTGATGATGACGAAGAGACTTTGAAAGGACTCAAATATTTTATTTTCCTTGTTTCTGATGATCTAAACCTGAAAACATAAGAGTTTTCTTTGGAATAATTAAAATCCACAAGCTCTAATAAAACAAATTCATCAGGTTTCTCAGGTGCTAATCCAAATACATATACATAATGTACACATACTTTACAGCACATCCTCACCTTTCAAAGTACAAAACTTACAAACAAACATAGACACAGATAACTAAAAGCTAAACATCTCTCCCAACCCTATCCACTCTGATGATGATTGTGCATTTACAGCTAACCTTTCCCTAGAGATCAGTAGCTACACTTAGTCGTTATCCCCTCTGCCCAAATCTGTCACTACACTTGCTCTCTCAGGGCTCTCATTTATACACAGAACTCAAGGCACTACGTCAATGGAAGCGCATGTAAATCTCAGGGTCATGGACACTTATGCAGGCTAAGCTTCAAGTTTTCTCTCTGAAAAGAGGGTGAAAATCCCAGAGTTGTCATGAGGATTAAACAAGACAAATGTAGGGCAGGCACTGTTAGGTACACTGATACTTGTAAAAGTAGTAATTATGGTCGAAATACAGGCATGTCAGTGATTTTTTAAATAAAACAATGCTTTCTATGCATTCTAATGCTCTTGAAAACTCATGTAATAAACTGTTTTGGAAGAAAGTATGTGATTGCTGTCTCTTTTAAAAACTTAAAAGACTGATGGTTCTTAAAAACGAATAAACTAGTATTTAGGAAACATCTGTTGAACTTTTCTTAGTGTACTAAAAATGTAGTATTCCTTTAAAAGTGAGGATTGATAACTTGTTACTAAACAGTCAGTTGATGACCTTAAAATTTAAGCTAGCTTTCAGCTTTAAATTAGATTTATACTTCTTAAGATACAAAACCAATATTTTCCCCCCAGTGGACATTGCAATGAAGAAACTGTTTAAATGCTGCTTCTTTAAACTCCATCAATAATGCTGGAATGTCATCATGTTAAAACTAAAATTCACTAGTAAATAAAGATAGCTTTCTGATTCACTAAGAAAAAAAAATATGGTACTTCTTAAAAAAATAAGTAAGATTCACTGGTAACTGTAACAACACTTTGACCCTTCCTCTTACTATCAAATCTGGCAGGAAAGCATTCTCCTACCTAGATCTTAATATCCACATCTTGACAGCAAAAGTGGCCTAGCAAAAAGACCCACTGAGCTTTACAGTTCTCAACCCGTGATTTGTACACTGGGAATATGAGAATTAAATGGGAACTTGTTAAAACCTCAAATTCTCAAGGCTCAATCCAGGCCTACTTGTTTAGAAACTCTGATGTGGGGAACCAGCAATCAGGCTCTTCATTCTCCTCCAGCTGACCTGATTTCTATTATACTGTAGTTCGAAAACTACTAGCCTGTGCCTTTGGCTTGCGATTAATCTAATTGCAATGAATAAAGGACTAATACATCGAAGGGGTGGTCAATGTCTTTTCTTCTACTTTTGAAGAGATAAAGCTTCACATTAAATAATTTTACTAAATCAAACATTAAAATGTACCTTCTTCCATATTCTACCATTTTCTTTGGCAAGATTCGGGGAAAAAAACCAAAGTCAAGAGTCAGTTTTAGGTCATTATAAAAGCTTTATGATATTTAGTCTTATTCTTGTTCATACAGGGTTTTTTGTATTATAAGTTTTAGGTAGGTAAAATTATTTTTGAATTAATTCTTAGCACTGTACCACTTAAAGATAAATTCTTGAGATCCTATAGGTTATCTAATGTCAGCATAAAATACTATGAGTGGAAAAAAACAACAACAACAAAAAATACAACACAGCATACATAGAAATATTTTTGCGATAAACCTGCATTATGAATATACACACCATCACAACTTAAATATACTGAACCTCTCCAAACCACAAACTAGTTTTTATAACATTACAGCTGGCAAAAGCACAATACTCTCCAGTGACATAGTCACTGCAAAACACAAATACAAAGCAAAACCATTTATATGACTATACCTTCTTTGTTCACTGTGTCAACTACATCATTGACAAGGTGTATTACAGTCACTATGGAAGCTTGTAAAAAGGCACAAAAGGAGTCAATTAGGAAAATCTTAGTTAGAAATCAGTGCATGAAGTAAAATCTTAGTACTAGCAATTTCTGCTCTATAACTTAAAAATCTGAAATTAATGCTTAAATACAACCATATAACGTAATTATCCATGACCTCTGTAGTCAGATCTCAGACTTTTCAAATCAAGCTATATACTTGCTATTATTAATCAAAATAATAAAGTAACCATGGCTTACTAGAATTTAGGATAATTTTTAGCTATACTTTTTTTTTACAATTATAATTATGGATTGTGTTGGGACAAAACAATTCTTTTAATGTCTCATGGGCAATGACTTTATATTTGAAAAACTTGTACACTTACATCTTGACAGCAAACATGGCCTAGCAAAAAGGACCCACTGAGCTTTAGAGTTCTCAATTTGTGATTCCTACAGTGGGAATAACAGAATTAAATGGAAACTTGTTAAAACCTCAAATTCTCAAGGCTCAATCCAGGGCTACTTGTTTAGAAACTCTGGTGTGGGGAACCGGGGGCGGGGGCGGATTTAAGGAGATACATATGCAATGCGAATACAAAACTGGTTTTGGCTCTGTTTTCTCTCTCACCCCAAATTTCTTGTCTTTTAGCAGATAAACTGATTGCTGGTGAGCTAATACTAGCATAGTATAGATTATCTGGGTACTTCCTGTATAAATTCCTTTTTCATCTGTGTGTTAGACTGTTTTTAAACAATCTATACAAGATAAATATGTGGGTGCAGGGAAAATGAAGAGATGGCTCTAAAAGCTGCCCACATTCAGATTCTGGGAACATATGATTATGTTACCACAAAAGGGACTTTACTGACAGGATCCAGTTAAGGACCTGAGGAAGAGGAGAGACCTTCCTGAAATGCTCTGGGTGAACCAGATGAATTGACAAGGGACTTTTTTTTTAAAGAGAAGAATCTTTCCTGCCTGTGGTTGGATGAAGCTATGACTATGCCTACAGATAAATAGTGAAATACAATGTTGCTGACTTTGAAAGATGAAGAAGCCATCTCTAGAACCTGGAAAAAGAAGGAAAGCGATTTCTTCCCCCCAAAACTTCTAAAGAGAAACACAATTCTACTGACACCATGATTTTAGTCCCATAAGACAAGTGGTAAGCTGCTAAGCTATGGAACTATACGATAATTATTTGTGTTGCTCTGAGCCATTAAATTTGTTTTGAACTCTATAAAAGACTTAGAAAACAATAAAATACAAGCATAGACTTTTATTACAGACTAATTTTATGATTGATCACGGTAAGAAGAAAATACTAAAACTATTGTAAATGTCTTTTCCCTGCACCGTACTATCTCGCAACTAAAATTAATAATGAATTTGACCATAACTTGTTAAAAGCATTTAGAAGTATTATAGAGAAGAATGCAGTTTCAACAAAAAGATCTAGAAAAAGAAAAAAAATTGACAAAATTTCTGAAGTGTACTAATGAAGAACATTTAGGGGCCAAGATGTAAATCATTATATAAACTGAAAATACAAACTTTTAATGAAAACTAATGAGAGTAATTCTATTCTGCTTTTGTTGATTTAACAAGCAAAGATATATTAATTTGCTTTACTACAAATAAACACAGATATACTTTGATATCACATGTGACATGCTTGTAACTGGAAATGAAAGGAACACACTTTGAGAAAGGCTCTACACTCTTCTCTTATGGACTCTGTGGACTTAAGAACTACCTAGATGCAATGTACTGTGCACTGTATTACTCTCAATTATGGAATATATTAACCTGCGTCTGATAATTATTAGTAGTGGATTTTTTCTTTGCACTAATGAAGTATCTGTAATATGTAAACACATTATATTTTTACCCCTCAAAACATGATTAAACCTACAATTTCTGAGATTCAAAATTTTCCACTAAAAATCTACTTCATTGTGTTACTGAATCTTGACAACTATCTATACTGGTATGTGTTAATAAGGCAAAGCTGGTTATCAATGCAATTTACTCTAGGGAAATCAGATAAACATCAACAGTGTTATGGATCCCACTGTCAAACCTTCTTCATTAGAAATATAATCAAACTTACTAGCAATCTCTTAAACTGTGCTCTCAGTCAGTACGCTCTGATCCAAATGGGAGCTGGGGCCGCAGTGGGGTTGGGGGAAGAGACAAATAAAACCTTGTAATACCAAAGGTGCCACTGAAATCGTACATTTCAGACTATCACATCTCTCCTGAGAGGGTGCATGAATGTGTATTTTATGTGATCAAAAAAGTTGTTCCAAGGGTTTTTGAAAAACCCACAAAACTTTTTATAACATTTACTGCTATGCAAAAAAAGGTAACAGGTTTAGTTAATGAGAAATTGTCTTTCAATTAATTATACTTTCTTCCCTATTAGATATTTTGCTACAGTTAAAAAATCTATTCATTTGCTACAGTTAAAAAATCTATTCATTAAGAACACTTCAAATACCACTTCAAAGTGGTCTAAGGGAAATACGGAAACATTTAAAAATTTAATTAGGGGACCTAGCGCATTTACATTATTACATAACATAATGTGAACAGCATCATGCACAACCACCAAGCACTCAGCACTTCAATGTTCTGGTACTCACCATTGTCATCACACGATTCAGACTGGAAGGAGCTAAGGGACTGCACTTCAGACAGGCTCTCCCGGGCACTGTATGGCTGTGAAGGCTTTTCCTCTAGAGGTTTCTTGGAAAGACAGGGATCAAGATCCACCACTTTAGCTAAAAGGAAAAGATGAGAAACAAACAGTAAGCTCCATTTGGACCAAGCCTCTGTTATGTTCATTGGTGCCTGAGATTTATTTAATCAATGAACCAGAGAGAGAGAGAGAGACAGAGAGACAAAGAGAGACAGACAAACAGAAAGAGACAGAGAGAGAGAGCAAGACAGCGAGACAGAGACAGACAAAAAGAGAGAGAACATCTTAATACTTCCACTTCCTCTGGCCACATTTTTTTAAAATGCCCCCCTCCAATCATTTTATATACTAAAGCCCCTCCCAAATATAGCTGAGAACCTGTATCAGTTATAAAAATGAAATTATCTTTCTAGAATATCAACTGGAATGTCACTTTCTTAAAATATCATAGCCAAAATTCCTAGGCAGTACTCACTCAAGACATCCAAAAAAGTATTCAAATTTCAAGAATTTCAGATTTTACACCTACTTATCTCTAATAAAAATCCAACATTTTTACTTGAACCACCAGTGGCTGTGGCACAACTTGTAATCTCACTATTTATCTTAGTGACGTTTTAGTGAGATGAAAATACATTGCTCTTACTGTCATAGTCGAAGTCCCAGCTAGGCTTCTGTATTGAGTCACTGTCAGAAGGAGAGTTTGAAGGAGGTGGGGGAGGCAAGTTTGGGGCAACGCTGCAGACGGCCACTGCTTTCCGGTGCCCGTGCATGGACTCGGGGTTAAAAGTGCTGAATTCAGGATGCTCTGGTATAGCAGACCCTTCAAAGGAATTTCGGTCGAGATTGTTTCTAGAGTCACTAGGAATGCTTGGAGTGTAGGAAATAGGACGGACAGGCACCTGGGGTGGTATGTCTGAGTAAATGTTCTTATTTAGCTTTGAATCAAAATATGGTCTTTGCAAGAAAGCTGTGGTTGGTCCCAAATGTTTGTCTTCAGGTTCAGCCTGGTGTTTCTTCTTCCGACTAATCATTTTGCGGCAAAGGACAAATACCACCACCAGCAAAAATATCCCTGCTATAAAAACAATAATTCCTATTCCTTCAGCTAATCCAATATTCCACGGAGTTGATACATATTGATTGGGAGCAGCCTCCTCACAGTGTTTTCCTCTGTACTCGTGGCTGCAGTTACAGTGATAGGAGCCATGTGTATTCTCACAAGGGGCCCCATTATGGCAGGGGTTTCCAGCGCATTCATCAACATCACTTTGACACCTGTCGAGAAGGTCAAGAATGAGGGCACCTGTGCAATATTTCAGATCAATAGTAGTTTAGAAACTAAGAACTAAAATCCCTCCCTTAACAAGAAATGCCAAAACCAAACCAAATATGAAACAATCAGAAAACACAATGTTGACAATAATTGCAACAAAAACTTTTGTGATAATCACTTGATTCTATGCTTTGAATGCGTATGAGGAAGACAAACCTATCATGCCAGTATTTAACTGCCACTTTTCTAGGATTCAACAGATTACTACATCAATCCCATAGGCTAAACATTGGTTTGTTTCTAGTTCTGATGACCGAGCTATCATTCAGAAATTTGAGTTGTGTGTTTTGATAAATGGTAGGTGAGACTAAATTTCTAAGAAACTGTTCTTGTCTGGGAATTTGACAGTTGTGTGAAACATGTGAAAGTTAGGAAACCCTATGTTTTCCATTTTGAAATGTTACTCCCTGTTGAAAACCTTCCCAGGCTCCTTACCCTTGTAGGTAGTAAGAAGTCCGCTCTACCTTTCCAAACAGGGGCATATTGTACACATGTGCAGATCCACTTGCCACTTCTCAAACCTTCCCTCCACCTTTAATAAAATTCACCTTACTTACTGTCCTTCATACTCACTTGGCCTAAAATTCTGATTACTGATAGGTTTTTGTCGAATAATGTAAGATTATTCACTGACTAAAATTACGAAAGTCAATGACAAACTAAGGCCATGACCATGGCAAAATTCAGGATTATAACCACTACAAAGGCAAAAGTATATGGGAATACCTGCGAGTAGGTCACACTAATAGCCACTTAATGAGACAGCAAAGCCTTAAAATGTACTACTGTAGACACTTAAGAGATAACACATAATGAGTAATTTTTTAAAGCTGAACTGATGAATAGTCTAATGTAAAATGACATCCGAAAGTAAAATCTTGTGAGAAGACTAGGGGAAAGGAAAGAAGGGAAAGGAAAACAATATGAGAAAAGGAAAAAATGGAAACAAATTCTTTGTAGGGAGGGGTGGAGTGGTTGAAGGGAGGGCAGGGAAATGGGGAAAAAATAAGAAACAAGATGGACTATGTAAAGGTACAAATTCCCAATGATGAATGTCACCATATTGTATACCTAACATGTACCAATAAACTTAATGAAAAAAAAAAAAAACTAGAAGTTTAAATTCACTTTTTTTCAATGTATACAACAAGCACTTCCATGACTCACTTTTGGTACCTAGAAAAATAATAACTATATTTCAAGATTATAAAAGATAGTAAGAGAATTGAAAAAGGTTTCTAGGTGCTACATAAATGTTAGTTATGGCATACTATAAAAAAGTTATTGTTATTATCATCACTTTCAAAGATTGATGAGTTCAGTTTTACAAGCATCTGATTTAGAGAACATGATACTCATTTTATAAAATAATTACAAGCATTTACTGCTTACAAGAACCCACATATTCCTTGTTTATAAACAATACCTCTAAAGTGTAACTAGGCTTTTGAAGCATAATATTCATCTTCTTGAAATTTTCTTTCAAAGAGTAAAAAAGATAAATTATAAAAGTGCCAATGAGGATTATCACACTCTGAAACAAGAAGTCTGAATTAACAAAGTTTCACTGTGTCTGCTAATGAATATGACACTATAGAAAAGGTACAAATACAAATCTTGATAGAAACCATTTACCTTTCTCCCCTAAAACCTGAATCACACTGACAAACAGCACCATCCAAACTGTCAAAACATGTTCCACCATTTTTACAGGGCTCATCTTTGCAGTATGGGCTAAGCTGGCACCTGAAGAATAAGGAAAAAAATATGCATAAATCTCATGAGCCTATTGTAAATAAAGCAAAGCAGAAAACATTAACAAGTGAAGAATGTAAAGACTTTTTACATGCAGAATTACATGTTTTAAAAAGTTAAATACTATAATTCATTATGAAAGTTAAGAAATATACACATACCTCTGACCAGTGTATAATCCTCTACATTGGCAAACAAAGTCTCCATTGTCTACAACACATGTACCACCATATAGGCAGGGGTTGGAGGAACAGGGGTTGACGCTCACCTCACAGTACGTCCCTATGTACAAGGCACTACACTTGCAGTAATAACCTAAATTAGCAAAAAGAAACAAAGTCCTGTTATTCAATGACTCGAAAGAAGTATAGTTATAATGAGTTTTACCTTATACTTTATAGTGATATTTTAGTCTCAGATCTATACAAGCTAGTACAACTCCCATTTTCTCTGGGTAGAGAGTTGTCCATATGGACAAGCATTCCACTGTTGGCACAGGTTGAATAACCCCTGTCTAAAATGCTGGTACTACTGATCATTCAGATTTTAGAGTTTTTGGATTCTGGAATATCTGTGTACAGTTCTATATTCGTTGAGCAACCTTAACCTACAAATTTAAAATCCAAAATTGAAATTTGGAGTACCATGTTGGCATTCAAAAGTTTTAGATTTTGAAGCCCTTCAGATTTTGAATTTTCAGATTAGGAATGCTCAACCTGCACAACCAAATCACGAGGATTTGAAGTAAGAATGCATAACTAGTTTTAGTTAATCATAATTTATGTAAAGTTATCGGGCCAATCACACGTTAAGCCCCTTGCCTGAACGTGTACACAATACTACTTAACATACCAATTTATTTGCAAATCATAAGCATTTAGGATTAAATGAAATGATGAATGTGAAAAGCACTTTAAAGTCAATTTTATAAATTACCATTCAAATTTTACAAAGGATAGCATCAAATTTGTTCAACTGAGTACAAAGAATACCAGACTCTTTATTCATTACTATTTTTAACTATCTGATTTGGGAAACACTACAATCTTTATTTCCTCAACCTCTTTTAAAAGTTAATCATGGTTATGGGATTTTCTTTGGTCAAAGGAACATGGCACTGGGAGCCAGGAGTCTGAGAAGTCAGTATGCAGTAGCTAGGCTTCTTTTCTCCAGTTTCAGGGATCACAGTAGCACATTTCAAGGCAATGCCTTTCTCACCCTCATTTTTAAGTGACAGTGAGGCCAGCCTCCTTGCTGCCCTGATGTGGATAGGTAATTATATGAAAGCAAGCCTTTCCTGTCTTATGCCATGAGATTTTCAGAGGGCTACAATGGAGATAATTTAGCCTACTCTACTGGCCTTAGTGACCAACACACTTTCCAAAGACAGCAGAAAACCAAATCTTTTGAAATTCCACTGAAAGTACTTTTTATTTTTGCTCTACTAATTACAATAAGCTCTATTTAGAAGGCATGATGATTGCCACTTTTCCTAACTGTATTCTATTAGTACTTATAAGTGGCCCAATAGGAGTCCAGGGTTCAGAAGCCTAGAGCACAACACAACAGAGATGGGCAGAGCAACACTTTGGAGGGGTTCGAGGCCTTCCAGAAAATCCTAACACTCCCATTTCAAGACTCCAGCAGACCCTCTGTGGTGAGCAACTGGCTAAATGATGATATAAAAAAAAAAAACCAAGAACAACTAAGTGATAATTTTAAATTCCCCTGGGTTGATGTCTATGGAGCTGGAAGAACAGTTCAGAGTTAACCATGGTTTGTCTGGTACAGGGTAAGCTCAGCATAGAAACATGTCTTGGTCAGGCACTTGAGATATGACAGCAGCAGCTCAGCAGCTACAGTCATGGTGCTCGCCAGTCTAGCCGCTGGGAAAAATTCTAAAAAAAAAAATTCCCTGCTCTGCTCTCTTTTAACATACTACCACCGAATTGTGACTGCACTATTTATACTGACTAATACCTGATCATGTTGTTTGAATAAGAGTAGAAAAAATAAAAATGTTGAGGAACTTAGATGTATACATGGGTACCATTTTAAATATTGTAACACCATGAATCCTACCTCCAGTAGGCGATGGGTGGCAGATGCCTCCATTCTCACAAGGGTTACTTGAACAGTCTTCTGTAGCCGTTAATAAGCACCCAGGAGATATGTCCACTGACTCTTCAATGTGTGCATAGCTTCTTGGTTTGCTATTCAAAGGCAGCTCCTGCCCATTCAAATAAATGGAGTCCATACAACCCCTGAAACCATTACCAACTTGGGGGCTTCTTCCATGCCTTGTTCCTTGCTGGCGGATGTGGCCACCAAAAAACACATAGTTATCCAGATTTAGGGTTTTCAGAGTCCCTGGGGCTGTGCCTGATGCAGTGTGGACTTGGTCTAGAACCAATCTAGCATAGTTTCCATTCACTTCAAGAGACACCACGTGCCACTGCCCATCACTGACTTGAATGCTTTGAACAGAGACAATGCCAGGGCCACTCCCACAGTCAAATTTGTATTGCAGTCTTCCATTATGAATCTACAATAAGAAAAAGTTTGCTGTCCACATTAATCTCATAAACCTTCAGGTATTCTCTGACCAAAAGTCTATATAAGAGAGGAATGTCTGGCAAATGAAGGTAGAAAGAGTAAAGCCTTGCATTAAGTACTACAGAACAATACTCATCTGTCCATTGTACAAATGATAAAAATGGGTCTTTCAAGGATATTAAGTGTCAAGTGCACATACAAAAAGCAACATGGAAATGACTGTTAACTAAACCCACCCCTGTACACACAATTTACACACAAGCACACACCATATACACAAAGCATCAAGTAATATCAAAAGTCAAAATCATGTTTTATAAGAAAGGCGGACATGATAATCAACACTTTGAACATATACAGGATCACCCTACAAACTCACTGTAACATTGAGATAAATTAGCTAGAGTTTGAATGTTAATAGTTACGTATACCTAAAAATGTTTGTAAAAACAGAAATAAACCTCTATGATCCCACAGAACTTCTCTTCCCATAACACATAAAACTTATATAGGTATAAACAACTCTTTAAATGTGGGATTCACTCATATGGCCTTGATCATTTTTTTAAGGTAGACCATCAGAAAATGAAAATTATAATTTTCAGTCTGCTAAAATCTGAGGTATAAAAGTACATAAAACGGCCAGGCATGGTGCTGCATGTTTGTATCCCAACACTTTGGGAAGCTGAGGCAGGAGGACTTTAGTGTGAATCCAGCCAGGGCAACATAGCAAGAGCCTTTCTCAAAATAAAAAATAAAAAGGTGTGTGTGTGTGTGTGTGTGTATATATATATATATATATATATACACACACACACATATATATATATATGATATAGCTCAGTGTGAAGGCCTTGTTAAACTGTTAAACACAACAACAACAACAAAAATCCTTGCATAAACACATACCTCCAAGATACTGTAATCAGTTCCTCTAGCATACATTACAATTGCATGAGTAGAATAAGTTCTGAGTCTCACTGTCAATTTCATCTCTAATTTGTTCTCATTTTCCATTAGACGGTATTTCACAAAGCTATTTCCAGTAAATGTTACAGATGAACTCCCTGTGAATCACAAACAGGAAAAGTTACTTCAGAGCCAAATTTAAGCATATTTTAAAAGTATGATTTCTTCCCCTCTGAGACTGATGCTTTTCATTTAAGATTATAACATAAAATTAAATTTCTATGGGGAAATGTCTTTTTGCTTAATAAGTAATATGGTGTAACTGAGCCTCCATTTGGAAGAGAAAAAAACTATACTATCACCAATTAATTCTAAAATAATGAAGGGTCTAAATATGAAAATGTTCAATCTAAAATTTTAAGATAATTTCAGAAAATAGTTATATACCCTCAAGGTAGTTTGGTAAACCTTGTTAAACAAAATATAAAATAATTCTCATTCTCCAAAGAAAATGAAACTGATATGAATCTCCAAAGATGAAAACTGGTTACATACAATTATGCAGAATGGACTAAGTAAAACCAATTTCAAAATGACAAAAGATATATTTAACAAATCAAAAGATCAAAACCATACTGAGAGGAGACTGTATTAAAGAGAATGTTTGTAGTTATAACACAGAGCTATACACATTGATAAAAAGAAATAACCAAAACAATCAAACAGACAACCCAGAGGAATGCTAATAGGCAACAAACAAATGAAAAGGTAACTTTCACAAGTAGCCAGAGAATTAAAAATAAAAATAAGCAGATGTCATTTCATGCTTATTAGATGGAGGCATTTTTTTCTTTTAACTGAAAGCCTTCAACATTGGCAAGAGAACAAACAGGGAATGAAACCTTCATACATGACTGGATGAAATAAGAACTTATTCAACTTTTGGGGAAACTAATGTAATGGTATCTTTAAAATTTTTAAATGTGTTTTATCTTTGATGCAGCAGATCCTAGTTTTAGACTCTACTGTAACAAGAAACGAAAGCACCAGTACATGTAAGGATAAACGCATAAGAATTTTTTTTTAAACAGAAACATAATGATTGGAATGTGTACACATAAGGAATATTGACTAAATTGTGGCAAAGAAATGCTGAAAAATATTCACAGCCATTAAAAAGGATTAGATTCACATGTATTGGCTTGAAAACACATCCTTAATAACTACTAAGTTGAGGAAGCAAGAAGTTGAAAGTCTGTGAGATACAGTGCTCTTGAGAAAGAAAAGAAAAATATATAACATACATCACATCGCTTTTTGACTCAAAGAAAAAATTTGTAAGAAACACTGAAAGGATTTTTTGAAATGAAATCATGTTCAGTCACTGAATTCTCACCTGGGCACTGACTGAACTTGCCACTGGGACAGACACAGGTGTACTTCTCCTCTCTGGGGTCAGCAACACATTCAGTTCCTGCAGGGCATGGACTATCTTCACATCCATGTTGGATAGGTGGGCATTTCCCCTCTTTAAGGAAAGAAAAGGGAGGAGGTGGTGATTAACATGAATTTTAAGAAAATGATCTTTCCTGTGTACTCATCACAGGCTGTATACCCACTGTCATGTACTTATGTGTCTCACCTTTGCAGAGACACACTGATGTTCGATGGTGGCGGGGAGTCACAAAACTCAGTCTGGCTGTGCTGTGCGTTGACATAAAATTTTCATCCACAGATACCTTTTCATCACAGAATTTCCAAGGGCAATCCAGGCCTGCACAAAGCTTCTGGAACACAGCCAGTATCCTAACACCAATGATTTCCTCAATATCAGTCACAGAGGAGTTAATCTTGTGCAGAAGTTGTTTGGTTGAAACCTGGGTACTATCTGATTTCTCCACAAAAAGTAAGACATCTAGATGTGGGTGAGGTTCAGAGGGCTCCAAACTAACAATCTGTATGTCGTTCCTCCTTACACCCAGGATGTTCCGTAAAGCCCTCTGGAAGTTGCGCCAGTAGTCACCAACAAATTCTTCTGGAGTGAGGTTGGCAAAGCGAATGGCAATGGTGTGGTTCAACATCTCTTGTGTTATCTGTCTGATATGCACTGTGATGTCAGCCACTGTTGTAAACTTGCCATCTGTTACACTGACATTCAGAAGGTATTGCCCTATATCTAGCCTTTTGTGTGCGATCAGTTTACCCCCTGTGCTGGAAACAGAGAAAAGGCTGTCCATGTCGGGATCGAGACTGTAAGTTAAAGTGTCATATACGTCTTGGTCTGTTGCATGGATTTTCCCAATGACACCGCCAGAATATTCCTCTCCAAAAGCAGTAATGAAAATCTCTAGTGGCAAAATTGCAGGAGGATGGATGCTTTCCTCTATAACCCTGATGTCAATGTGTGTCAAAGATGACAACTGTGGTTTTCCATTATCAGCCACCTGAAAGAAAAATCACTGCTGTCTCTGCCAATGTTTAAAACTTCTTAATAAATACACATTGTAAAAATTATTTACTGTTCAAGTTTTTAAAAATTTCCAATTGCTTGATACCTATTTTCCACATGAGAAGCAAAGGACAAATAGATTCTTCATAGGCCTTTCACTAGTTCAGATGGAAACTCAGCCCCTTACTGTCTATGATAAAGTAACCAAATGAAGAAGTAAGCCTCCTTAAAGTGAAATGGGACAAAAAGAAATGTGTGGGAAAAAAGCCGAAATTATAACTGTAAATTTTTGTTTTCTCATGAAATATAAGCTGTTCATATATAAGAAAATAACCACCAAGCAGCTCTTGTGTGAAAAGAAAGACTTTAATACCTTAACATGCAGCAGGTAATGCTCCTTCACTTTCCTCTGTATGGTAGCTGAGGTCAGGAGGACACCCTGCTGGTTAACTTCAAATGCTCTGTCATCATTTCCGCTCACAATAGAAAAGAAGAATGGTGGACCATTGTGAGAAGAATCCTTGTCTGTCACGACAAGCTGCAGGACACTGAAACCCACTGGCTTGTTTTCCTGCACAAAATTAAAAGAAGAACAGAACAAAACAAAAATTTTTCAACACAACAAAATCTGCTGTATATGGTAAGGGAATGTAAGAATTTCATTATAATATAAAATACACAGAAAACAAAGGCTGACTGCTGACTCACCCAAAAGTGAGAAATGAGAAGTACAGGAGGAAGGCAACAGGATGGAGGAGGGAGGGAGGAAAAGTTGTCAGGGTGGGAGGATGTGGGAGAGGAAAGGGTGTGGGAGAAGCAGATGTAGGTTAACAGAAAGAGGAGAGATGGGATGAGCAGAGTGTAGGTGAACAGGGTGGAGCTGAAGAAGTGGGAGATGGAGAATTAGTAGCAAAGAGGAAGGCCACCAGAGAGATGGAGGTAAATCAAGAACAGCAGAAGACATGACTAAGAAAATCCTTGAGTCCTAGGACACTGGAAGTATCTTTAAAACCAAAGCACAAAAAGAGGAGAAATAAAAGTTTGGGTATGCCTTGAAAATGTTCTTCTAATATTGATGGAGACTGTACTTTTTCTACTTCTCTAAAACACTGCCTTTATCTAAACAAACAAATGAATCTAATTAAAGTGCTCAAAGGACTCCATGAATTGTTTGCATGAAGGGTTTACCTGGATGATTACACTGTAGTTACCCTTGGAGAAGACTGGGGCATTGTCATTGACATCAGACACATCAATGTTCACAGTTGTGGTGTTGACTCTGGGTGGACTGCCATTATCAGAAGCTTGAATTGTGAGTGTGTAACCTGAAATCTTCCCAGAGAAAAGACCAACAAAGCATGTTCATTCACACAAAGTCAATGAATTGGAATCAACTGTTGTATCCAGTACCTACAATTCCCTAACCTACAAATGTGTACACTGTAAATAAAACATTTCCTCAACAACAAAAAAATGCCTCTCAAAAGCATACTCATCTTGTTAAATATTTTATCTTTAAAAATCTACAGTTCTATTAACAGAAATAAGAAAGAAGAAATATGAATTATTAGGAAAAATGTTAACATATCTCAATGTGCTGTTGCTTCAGTAATAACAGAAAAAAGCCTTCCCTGGGGCCTATAGTGGTCTCAGCTATGCTGTCCCTCACCTTTGAGAACTAACTCACTTCTAAACCCCCAGGACCTACCAGGTCACCCTCCCTGCTCCATTTCATGCTTGGATTGTGCTCAGTTGTCTAAATCCCTCAAGATTGTCTTTGTGACCTCTTATAAAAGATATCATGTCAAGTGAGTCACTTTCTTTTAAGTGTAGTTCCCTGTTAAACTTTCTCTTCTAGAATGAGTGGTGGAAGAAGCCAGGAAGCTGGCTAAATCACAGATGAATAACTGATTGAATATTAGTCCTGCAAGATGCTCCCACAAAAAAGGGCTGTGAGGGCAAACTACCCCGGGAAACACCAAAGGCTACTTCCTATGCTATCTCACAATGAACAGAAGTATGTGAAAGGATCGGGTGCATTAGTCAAAAATACTAAATTTTACTCTGCCAGCAGAAGAGCAATCTTACACATAACAGTTATGCTTCCGAAACTCTTAGAAGATCCTTTCACAAAATTTACACATCAAAAAATAAACTGAAGAATTTTAATGATTATTACTGTCTCTCCAAATTACTCAGTCTAATGGGTATCCATTTTTTCTCAAACTACATCCTTTATTACCACTTATGTCCTAATTCCCCAAACCAAGGCTTCCTTCATTTCTCCTTCATGTCATGACCTCTGTGAGGCAGCTCCTGTTCTACTTCCCTTCCTGTATATGACAGTGAGTGGATACAGGGGTGAGTGAATGGACAGACAGATGTTCCGCCTGGCTTGCCTCTCCTCTTTTATTCTCATTTGTTTCTTGTAGATCACTTCTATAGGCATTTCCAAGGGCATGTACTGCATCTACATTTCCAGTTCTCAATTCTAAATTAGACTGAAAAGTCTAAATACTGACAAAGGAGTATTTCCTCAATATGCTATTTCCCATTAAAACCCAGCACATCTGAAAGCACATTCTTAGCATCTAGCAGCCCCATGCACTTATAACCCATGACTTCCCTACCTCTCTACGATGGTACTCACTGACCAAGCACAGCAAGACTAATAGAAGTCATCTCTGACACCACTGCTTCCTACATAGGGCCATATCAAAGTTTTGTGGATTCTAATTTTCCTTTGTAAAGTTTCTTCATTTGCCTTTTTGCTCACTGCTGCTTTCCTAATTCAGGCTCTAGCTGAAACAGATGAACTCCCAATGGCCTTGCTACCTCTCCTGGTCTCCCGCTATTCTAAAATACGACTGGACCTACCTATGTAATATAATCTTCCAAAATGTCTCCTAATATATTTCACCTCACAAGCTTAAGTAATTTCCTCAGGCCTAAAGCATCAAGTGTGACCCTCCGATTCTGGTTTTATGGCCCATGATTTCCTACAATGCCTTTCATTTTAACTCTCTCTACTTCTTTGTATGGATTACTCCAATAAAACTGGGTGAAGTCTCTTAAATATAGTCCATAGTTTCAATTTTCATGCTTTGTTCATATAATTTCTCACAGAGAATTTATTCTCTGAATCTTAATGGTTATTCCAGATTTCTGTCCTTTAAAGCTCTGCTTTAAAATCTGGCCTCTAGTTTCATTAAGTGTCTCAGAATGTTGGAGCTGATTGTAATCTCTTCTTGAATACAAACTTTTATTATCAAACTTTGATATGAGCATAAAAAATATTTCTTATACTCTTGAGATTTTCAAATTGCAATTGCTTATCAACTATTTACTTCCTGTTCCCCAGTTTCTGAGAAGGCTAGTTCTACCATTTTAATAATGCACATTATGCCCAATAGATATGAACACAAAGCACTTGTAGTTATTATCTGGTAACCTGTAAACATTCTAAATCAAAGTTTTACACTTACTGTTTCCCGGTCCAGAAGTTTAGTCACTTTCACTTCTCCCTTGACAGGATCGATGGTAAATGGACTTCCTTGATTGCCTTCTATAATTGAGTAGTGGATGAGGCTGTTTGAAGGACCATCAGCATCATCAGCCAAAACCTAGATGATACAACTCTTATTTAGAGGACAGCTAAGGACAGGACTGATGCTATTTTATGTAAGTTTATAATAAACCATTAAGTGGCCTAGCAAATGACATTTTTGTATCTCCACAGTGTTTTCAAATAAAGCCACTTTACAAAAATTAGACTGACTGAATTAAAAACTCTTGTAAAAATCAAGAGGAAAACTGAAGGGGGAAAAATGCATACCGTAATGACGGACTGTTCAAGAACAGCATCTTCACTGATTACTGCCATGTAGGTGTCTTGGCTGAAGGACGGGGTGTTGTCATTGATATCTGTTACATTAATGTTCGCAGTGGCCACGTCGCTTAATGAAGGCGTGCCTCCATCGGTGGCTTCCACGGTCAGGTAATATTCATGGGCGCTCTCATAATCCAGATTCTCAATGATAAAAATGGCCCCTGAGAGACAAAATTATTTCCAGTATTTTTTTGGGGGGGTACTGGGGATCGAACTTGGGACCTTGCACTTGCGAGACAGGCACCGGAACCACTGAGCTAAATCCTTGGCCCTTACTTCCAGTATTTTATAATTCTACTCCTATTTGCTATTACTGAAATATATAACACTTTTTAAAAAAAATTACTTTTTACTTCAAAAGTTTACTTACCATTTAAATATATTTTCTAGTTCCTTAATTCAACAATTATAAATTATGGATCCTTATTTCACTCTTACTTTCCCAATATCCCTTATAATACTCAAATCACTTCCCTAGTCTACTTTACCTCCATTCCTGCTATACAAATAATTATATCTATCTCTTCCTAACCACAGTTCACGATAGATTTTAATAAACAAAATGTAATTTTAAAAACCTCAATTCTGTGCCTTTTGGTTTCTTCTTTCTTCTTCTTTATAGAAGCACGTCCTTTAAAAAAAATCTCTAAAATAATCCTTTACTTACATTCTATCATTAAAATCCCTTTTTGATTTAACATTTCTCCTAACATCTTTCCTTGTCAGTTCATTATAGTCCATCCTACTGAAAAGAGCATAGGATAAAAGAACCCTAAAAATAACTATTTTATGATATGCATTTTAAAAATCCTTTTAAGATAGCAACACATACCTCTTTATCTAAACTAGTTGCATACAATTAAGCAATTAGAAAGGAACCTTTTAAACTGAGACTGACAGCTATTTCAGAACACAGGTTAGTAAGATGACATCAGTATTTATGCAGCAAGAGTCAACAGTGCCTCTGACCTTGAGGGCAGTCTCAATGTGATGCAAAGTCCTTCAACTGTTATATGTAACAAGCATGATTTAAAAAAAATCAACTTTAATGAATTATCAGATACCCACTATAGAAAGTAACATCCAGGAGGTCAAAACTATGGTTTTACTTGGAAAGCTACAATATATATTTGATATGGGGGATAAAAGGAGTAACTGTGCAAGGTCTTCTACTATCAGCCATTCTTATCTTTACTGACTTGGAACACTTTACATCATCATTCAACTATTGGAATGTACTCTGGTTTTCTATTTTAAATTAATGTGTTATAGATTACAGTGGTTATGCCAGAAACGTATTTTACCAGTTTGAGACTGAAATCTACTAAACCACTTTTATTCTGACTTTAAACAACAAAAAGAAAACTTGAGTTCTTTCTTTAGAATATCTATGCTTCATATGTGCCCTGTCACTTTGTATATGATGAAATACCAGATAAATCTAGCCCTTCTGGTGGAATAAAGGGCCTCCTCTCATTTATATGGTACGTTACCTGTTTTAGAATCTATGCTGAATTTTCCATGTTCATTTCCATTTATTATTGAGTAGGTGATTTCGGCATTTGCTTCGATATCCCGACTTGCTGCATATACTTGAAGAACTTCAGTTCCAATGAGAATGTCCTCAGACACTGTGGCACCATATTCACGATATTCAAATACAGGTGGGTTGTCATTTATATCCAAAACTGACACAACCACAGTGCCAGTGGCCGACAACTTCCTTGGCAAACCTTGGTCTACAGCTTTCAAAACAAGGGTATAGACTGCCTGTAGTTCTCTATCCAAAGGCTTTTCTAACTGAATAATTCCGGATATTTCATTAATGGAGAACTGCCCATTAGCAGAGTCAATCAGTGAGTAGGAAATTTTTCGATTCAATCCTGTTAAAACATGAAATCATATCAAAAATTTTATATATAAAAAACTTATGTTTTAAAAATTGCAACATATTTTTTAAAAGGTAAAATGTAAATTATTTTTAAATTATTGAATCTGATCTAGAAAAAGGCAAGCTCTGAATTACCAATTTCCTAAGTTAAAATAAGTACAACTGTATAGATATCTGGCTTTTGAGGCTATTTTATGATATAGTAACCCAAAGACTTTTTTTTTTGGGTACTGGGGATTGAACTCTGGACCTCGTGCTTGCGAGGCAGGCATCCGAACCACTGAGCTAAATCCCCAGCCCCCACCCATAGACTTTTTTTTAAAAAAAAAAATCTATTTAACATTTAACTTCCATGACAAAGAATTATTTGAAAAGTAACACTTTCAATATTCTTATAATTCTTCAGTATTAATTTCAAGAAGCTACCATCAAAAGGCTATGAAAAACATTTCTTGGTCTTATTTTTTCCACAAAAATTTCAAAAGATTTGTAAAATTATCACCTACAGTATTTGTTTGTGTTATATTCCTATGATGCCCCCCCTAAATTTTTTTTTGGTACCTGGGATCGAACTCAGGACCTTGCGCTTTTGAGGCAGGCGAAGTGCCACTGAGCTAAACCCCCAGTGACACTCAAATTTCTTTATGGCACTAATGGTTTAGCCACAAAATACTCCACTAATTAATTCAATGACCTATGATGGTCACTTGATATCAAGTTACTAATCAGAATTTTATTTACACTACAGATAACCTTCTAGCAGTGAGTTCACTGGGTCCTATTTCGAGACTTCAAATATTCATCAAAAGTGAATTATAAAACAGTGATTAGTTACTCTGTACGACTAAGACAAGGTAGGTTAGACAGGCCCCATTGGGAATGTGTTTCAAAACAGCAGCTCATAAGCTCTTAGCACGGAGGCAAAGAGCATCTGCTGAGGATACCTGTGTCAGCATCGGTGGCTTGCACTCGGGTCAGCAGTGTCCCAGGCTCTGTGTTCTCAAACACGGTCACGGTGTAAGGATCAGCAGTGAATTGAGGGGCATTATCGTTAACATCTTCTAATGGGAGCACAATATTAGCTTGACAGAATCTTCCACCTCCATCTGTGGCCCTGACCAGAAGATTATAAACTGCTTGCTCCTCACGATCAAGGGGGGCTAATGTTTTCAGTTCACCTAAAAATAAGCAAATGTAGGACTCACTTGAAATTTAGGGATGTGAACTGCAATTGTGCACTTTTCTTGCCCTTTTCCTTTACAATTATTGCATCTGGAGAGGAATTTTGTCAATGACAGACTCAACAGCTTCAGGAGCATGTCAAGTTCTTGGGTTCTGAAACCCTGCTAGGCATAAGCTCTTTAAGTGTATCTGAGGCTAGGGCCTCTGACACTACATACAGTATCACAGAAGTAAAACAGCTACCTAATTTATCAAATTTAAAACTTTAAAAAACTTACTCAAAAATACATTCGGATATTTACAATTAGTTCTTCAGGGAAAATGAAAAAGTTTAAGAAAAAACTGTTACTTGATCCCAATTTTAACAAAATACAAATTATAAGAAAAAACAATTCTAATAAATCAAATATCATGGATTTATTTTATAGAAAACCGCTAAATGATGAATTTATAGTCATAAATTCTAGAAATATGCTATGTAAATAAAATTGGCAAAGCAAAAGGTCTAAGATATATTTTAGTAAGTTTAAAAAAAATCCTCTAAACTTTAAACCTTTAGCTCTAAACGTTATAAATCTTTAGTTCAAGGAGATGATTTTGGTGCTATTAATATTTTTTTATTAATTATTTTTAATCTCAACCCAAATGAATGCGCAATTTAAAATTTACATATTAAATTCCTGCTTAAATTTCTAAAAGATAATTTCATATCAGAGTAAATTTGTAAAGGACAAATTTTGAAAGTGATCTAAAAATCACAAATATACAACATGATTTTGCTGGAATACACAATGACATTTACTCCCAACTCCACCATTACCTGTGTCTGGATTTACTTTGAACTTTTCTGCACCTGAACCAAATAATGTATAAGTGATTTCAGCATTGGAACGGATGTCTGCATCTGTAGCAGAGACCTGTACAATCAGTTTCCCAGGAAGGGCGTCTTCAGGAATGGTATCTGAATACAGAGTCTAAAAAGATTTTAAACAATACTGTTACAATAAAAACATTAAAAGTCAGCAATGACTGTCAAGGACATAAAAGAATTCATTTTATTTTGACCATAGAAAATGTGGAAAATAATTGAAGTTAAAACAGCTTTAACAACCATGTTTCTAACCTATTTACCTAAACCAACCAATTTACCTAACCAACCAATTTACCTAAAAATTAGACACTAAATACCTGTTGTATATTTCCAAGTATAGGAATTTCTTCTGTGCAACTGTTTGTAACATATGATCAAATAACTGCATTTGGGAGAAGTAAGCTTCACTTGGGAGAAAACACAAGATTTCTCCAAGGATACAGAGGAAATAGGAGAGACTCAGGCCCCTCTAGTAACTTCTCCAAACTTCTCTTCACATTTGCCCTACACTTTGAACACAAAGTTCTCATTATTATGGAATCCATGCCATAAAGGGAAATAAGAGAAACAGACTAAGACTACTGTATTTACTTTTTAATATGAGCTCAGTTATAGGTGAGATATATTTTATGACTCATCAAACCAGGTATCTTGTAATTCTCTAATTCATATGGTCTTGTCTCGGATTTGGTTATTTCCAAAGATGATACAGTAATGCAAAGGTTGATCAAAACATATACTGATGCTTAAATTTTTAACAAATTATTACAGTAAAAGACACATTGCCAGCAATTCTCCTCAAAACACTCCCCCCGGAGCTCTGAATGCACTCATGCCACTGTTCTTGCAACTTTCAGAAGTGGTTCTGGAATTTCTGTCATGAGTGTCTGTTCGAGCTGTGATCAAAAGTATGGTGAGCGCTGCTGCCAAGCGCCACATAATGGAAAGCAGGCTCACGAAGACGTTACGTTTGTCCTCATCAGTCTATTCACCAGCTCGGGCTTGATGAGACTTTGGGCTCTTCCCCAAAGTCCAAAATGACCACGAAAGGTAAATATTTTGATTCAGTTCAGGACAGGCAACCATAACAGTGTAACTAAACACATTCATGAAAGAGGGCTTCCTGCATCAGAGTGGCAAGAACCATAAAGTGTGTATTCAAAGTGAGAGGGAATATTTGGAGGGGAATTAATGACAATGTGTCTTTTATTATTTTATTATTATTATTAATAATGTGTCTTTCATTATGTTTATTTTTTAAACTTAAATATTCACTGTATTTGTCACTCATGCCTACACATTCAAATAGTATCAATGCTAGAAAACAAAAATATACACTGTTAGTTTCTAAAAGAGGAAGTAATATTCACAGCCTCATCCCACCAAATAGTCACCGAAAAGTGTACTTATAATTGGAATTAACTCCCACTTTCCCTCAAGACTAAATTTTAAGTGTCCATTTACCTGATAATCAGTCTGTTACTCTCTGCAGACATACACATCTCCTTCCACTGAACTGGCAGCATTTTCCAACTGCTCTGTACCAGCCCCACTACTAGCCTTCTGCTAACCTAACCTACTCTTGTCCCCTCCTTTACTCGCAACCCTCTTCACTGGCCAAGGCTGTTCATTAACACAGTGTCATCTGCAGCCAGGCAGTCCATGATAGGACCCTAAGGCTGCCATCTCCAAGTCAGTTACAGAAATCAAGGGGCCTGCTTCACATCCTGAGCATCGTTTTTAGCTATGTCACATCTCTGCTTGCCACCCTGCCACTTAAAAGTCTGTTTCTCATCCCCAACTGCACTGTGCTGGTATTCTCTTCCTTCCACTCTGCTTCGGCCTCCCTTGGGAAATATCTGTCTTCATTTTTTCCCTTTTTGTTGGTATCCTCCTCTCAAATGAATTCAATTATCAGCTATCCACAAAAACTGCCAAGTTTGCGTATCTTTCGCTAATATCATCCCCAATCTCACCATCTCTAAATGTTTAGAAAACACATTCCACTGAATGCCTCATTTCCTTAAATTTCACAGACTCTACACATTTCCTCTAAAGCCAATTCCCACTCCAGGTTGTCTCTGTCACTGCTTTGATCTTCTTCCATTCACTTGTGGAAAATTTAAGTCCTGACTCAACATGCTTGCCACACTGCCATTTCCAGGCAGGGATGGAATGCTGTCACCTTTCCTGGAAAGTATCTTTGGTTCTTTCATTCTTGTGTCATTTCTGCCTATTCTAATATACCCTTATTTTCTTTTTTCCATATCCAACTAATGGACATAACTTTATCAAACTGAACCTCTTTAAGGAACTCTTGAGTCATATTATCTCTATCTTTCAAACATAAAACCATTCAGAGTCCTTCCCTATTTTCCCTAGGATACAGTTCTAATTCCTTGGAATGACCTTCATATCCCTGTATAACCCAGTTTATTCCCCTACACACACACTCCTTTCTCAAGACTCAATACCTTCCCTAGTTCTGGCAAACTAAGTTACTCTTCCCTACACCTCCATTTCATTCTGCATACTCCATGGCCTTTCCACCTCTACTCCTGGTGGTTGAATCACTACTTCCTAGAGGCTAAGCCCAAGCCTTGCCTCTGAACAGCTTGCCCTCATCATCCAGCTCCAGTGACCACTCCTGCCCAGTTGCATCGCTCTCATCTGAAGCCTGGAGGGACTCAGCTCTTCTCTAGCTGTATTTCGTCCTCTCATTAAATGTGAGCTCCATAGGTGCAAGAGCTATTTCACTACCCTCTCAGTTGCTGTGGAATGTAGAAGAGCAAAAATCATCTGGTAAAACAAAACAGAGCTTCATAGAAGACCCACTGGCCGGATGTTTCCCCCAAAATAATCTTATTCCCAAAGGAAGAAAACCCCTTCATGAAAAGTTTACAGAGCATTTTAGAGTTAGACAACTGTAATCCTGTAATTAATCCTGTAATCCTGTTTTTCAAAGTGAGATTTTGATCCATTTACATTTCCCAAAATAATTTTAAAGCCCTTCCAAGTCATGCCCCATTTAAAAATCACCTCTGTGTTAAAGTGATTATAATAGAAAACACATTTGAATTTCAACAGTATTATAGCACCGAATTGTAGTTCTACTGAAAAGATTAAGAAAATATAAATCATAGTAACACATATGAGGAAAGCAGAGCCTACAGCCTACCTTTTCACAAACTGGACTGTTGTCATTTGCATCAAGAACTTTCACCTCAACTATAGCTTTTGATGAGAAGGTCCCATCAGTTGCTGTGATAGTCAGAAGATAACTGTCTTTTTTTTCCCTGTCTAGAGGTTTCTTCACATAGACCTTCCATTCATTCTGAATATTTTCAACAGCAAACTGTCCTAAAGTGTCTCCTCCTATTAAATTGATGGAAGATAACAAATTTGACTTAAAGAGAGAAATAAGTTAACAGAAAAAATAAACTGTATGAAAGATGTATATTATTTTTAAAGGATTAAAAATAAACAGCATATATATTAGCTTTTCTACTTACTATACATTTAAATATTATTATACCAAATATAAGACTGCTAAATAAGACAGCTTCATTGAAGCTAATGTTATTTCTTAAAATTATATTTATTATGCCCTAAGAATAAAGTTCAACAAAAATGAGTTATAAAAATTAAAAACACTAATAAAATTGTTAGAAAGGACTTGAAATACAGCTTAATACATATTAATTCTACTTATTTTAGATATTAACTAAAATTTTCCCTTTAACCTTCAATTTCCATAAAATGCATATTTAACTCACTTCTAATACAATTCAGTTTTGAGCCATTTGGCTTGAATTTTTTACCTGTGATGAAGTATGTGACTTGTTTGTTAATCTCTTCAGAATCAGCGTCTGTGGTACTTAAGATGGCAATTACACCACCTGGTGGATCATCTTCACTCACCGTCCCTTTATAAATCTCTGCAGTGAACCGTGGTGGACTATCATTAACATCAGCGACAGTAACAGCCACGATGGCTGTGGAGGAGAGCTGAACCTTTTCACCATGATCTGATGCAACCACTTTAATCTGGTAAATGTCTCGCTCTTCGTGGTCAAGTTCCTTTAGAGTTGTAATCCAGCCTGTTTCCATATTAATGGCAAAAGATTCGATGATGTCCACACTTTGTGACTGATCTAGACTATACATAACATGGCCATTCATTCCTGAATCTAGGTCTGATGCCCTGACTTGGATGACTCTACTTCCCCCTGGTAGATTTTCAACAATAAATGCTTCATATGGATTGGATTCAAAGACAGGGGTGTTATCATTTGCATCTTTCACTTGGATACTAACATCTACAGAAGCTACTACCTCATACTCATCATGAGTGCACCTGGCAAGTATGGAAAACTGATACCACTTAGTTGTCTCATGATCAAGACTCTTCTCTAGCTTTACTCTTCCACTCTGTCTGTCAATAACAAAGAACTCATCTCTATTACTTTCAGGAGTATTCCCTTTGATCATACTGTAAAGAACAGTCCCACTATGTTCGGCTCTAATGAGATCTATCTCTGTTCCAATAGGCGTATCTTCTGAAACCGTATAGGTATAAAATGGTTCTGAAAATTTTGGAAGCTGTCTTTCTGGTGGAAGTATTTTAACATAGACAGGAACAACAGATTCTTTTGGTGGAGACCCATTATCTATAGCTCTAACAAAGAAAGTGAAGAACTCATTTTCCAAGCCAATTAAGCTTTCCTTTGTAGTAATTATACCAGACAGTTTGTTAATTTCCAAATTCTCCTTAACACTGTCAGAATCTGCTTCAATGGCGTAAGTGACATCAGCATTGGACCCCTCATCAGTATCGCTTGCAAAGACTTTCATAACTGATGTTCCTTTGGCAGCACTGGATCCGATGTTCACTTCATACTTGGTTGCTCGGAACTGTGGTGCATTATCATTGTCATCTGTAAGGATGACATTAATGGTACAGAAAGCAACCTTTCCTCCAGTGTCCTTTGCCATTAAACGAACTGAGATTACTTTCTCTGCAAGGGTCTCTCTGTCAAGTTTTTCCAAAGTAAATACTTGTCCTATCTCATTTGTGTAAAATCTGTCTCTAGCAAAGTCATTTACAATACTATAAGTAATGTGACCATAAATACCAGAATCCTTGTCAGTTGCTTTAACCTCAATCACAAGGGTGTGTATGGGAGCGTTTTCAGCAAGTTCCACTTCATACTCATTCTGAGGAAAAACAGGACTGTGCAAATTGCCTCCAATTACAGTCACATGAACCTGAGCTGAACTTCTAAAAACCCCATCAGAAACAGAAATGTTAAGACTGTAAAATGGCTTCAAGTTGTGCCTGCGCAGGTTTGAGAGTGTGATAATCCCTGTTTCACTGTTAATGACAAAATTTTTATGATCATTTCCAGACAGAATGGAATATTCCAACCTGTCTATATCTGAACTGTCTGCATCATAGGCTTTTACACACATCACAAAATGTCCATGAGTGGCATGCTCACTAATTTTGGCTTCATATATTTGTTGGTCAAAGAGAGGTGGATTATCATTGAGATCAGTGACATCTACTGTGACAATCACATCACTGCTAAGTGGGGGCATGCCACCATCAATAGCTCTTACAAAAATCTTGTGTTGCTGGAACTGTTCATAATCCAATGTTCTAAGCAGTGAAATGAGACCAGTGCTGCCATCTATATGAAAATGATCATGACTCTTGCTATGATTTCCAAACATCTGGTATGAAATTCCTCTATTTGGTTCTGAATCAGAATCTGTTGCCCTGACTTTAACCACAGACGTTCCAATTACAGATGCCTCAGATAGGGTTGCACTGTAAGATTGCTGAACAAACACAGGAGGGTTATCATTGATGTCTTCCACTATTATATCAACAAACACTTCAGCATGAGCACCAGTCAAAGAATCAGTTGCTCGTATGCTCAGTTTATATGCTGGGTGGGACTCAAAATCCAGAGGAGCTATGACATTTATAACTCCAGTATTAAAGTTAATAGTAAACTGGCTGAAAGGATCTCCATCTGTGATGCTGTAGAACACTTTCAATCCTTCTGGACTGTTGGCTTGTACGTGGACAACCGGGCTGTGCATCTGGATATTCTCTGGAATCTCTGCACTATAGAAAGGTTTTTCAAACACAGGCATGGCTTTATTCATAACAGTGATTGGAACTATGACTTCAGCTGAGAAAGCTGGGTTTCCTCCATCTTTTGCAACCACTGTAACAAGATACTCTTTATTTAAAGTGTCAAGTTCAAATTGCTTTTTCAGTGAAATTTCACCCGACGGTCCAATTTGGAAGTGGTCATGATGTTCTTTAAGGTAATAGTGTACTTCCCCGTTTCTGCCACTATCTCTGTCCACAGCAGTAACATAGCGAATAACATGGCCCACCTCGGTATCCACTTTAACGACAGCATAGTAGGGAAGGTTGATGAACACTGGGGCATTATCATTTTGGTCTTCTACAGTTACTTTCACAACAACATGGGCCACTGCCGAAGGCTTATGTTCTTCTGTCACTTCTACCACCACATCAAATGCCTCCTGCTGTTCACGATCAAATGGTATACCAGTGGTTGACAGCACTCCTGAAGTGCAGCTGATTTTAAATCTGCGATCTGGGTTGAGGATGTGATAGAATAAAGGCTCATTGATTGGATTCCCGATAGCAGTAATGACAGCTAATGTTTTGGCTTCAGTGGAATTCTCTTTCACTACTGCAGAGTAGAAATCTTGGGTAAACTTTAGTTGACTCTCCTTGCTTTCTTTCACGTTAATTTTCACAGAGGTGAAGCTGGCAAATCTGCCATCAGAAGCTCGAATGGTTAACTCATAGCGGCTTCTTAACTGAGTTGTATTTTGTATGGTTATAGTGCCAGTTTTGTAGTCCATAAAAAACTTCTCCCCAATGTTACCTTCAGTGATGGAGTATATCAACTGTGAAAATGCACTGGAATCCGCATCTGTAGCATTTACTGTGATGATTTTTACTCCTCTGTATGTTGGCAACAAAAGCAATGCTTCATATAATGATTTGGAGAACACAGGAGGGCAATCATTAATGTCAATTACGTGTATAGTCACATTAGCTGCATATTCAGCAAATAAACGTGGTGTCCCCATGTCATGCACTTGTACAGTAAAGTGAAAAACACTTGTTTCTTCATAGTCCAAACTTAGCACTGTATGAATAGCACCAGTAGTAGAATCAATAGCAAAATATTTGTGCACAGATGGTTCAACAATGTGATAAACAAGCAAAGCATTTGATTCTTTATCAGCATCAGTTGCCCGAATCACTAGTGGGACATTCCTGTCTGTCAGGACCACGCTATTAATTGAAGCTGATTCACTAATGAGTCCTGAATATTCTGCCTGAATAAAAACTGGTATGTTGTCATTCTCATCCTGTAGATGCACTAGAACAGTTGTATTAGTGGACAAACCAGCCATGTTGGTTCCTTGTATTGTCAATGTATAAATGGGCAAAGTTTCAAAATCCAGGGCTTTTTGAGTGATGATGCTTCCAGAATGTGGATTAATATCAAAAACATCCCCTATATTTCCATCTTTTATTTCATATATCACCGATGACTGACTATAGGCTGTAACTATTCCAACAAAACTCCCAATGCTGATGGTTTCACTAATTTCAATGGAATATTCTTTTGATGTAAACTTAGGAGAGGCATTGTCAGCAACTGTGACAAAGATATGTACAGAAGTCATTTCACTCATTGGTGGATTGCCTTTATCTGTAGCTTTTACCATTAAATCATATTCTTCTTGGTTACTTCGATCCAATTCTTTGGCAGTTTTTATAGAGCCCAAGATGGGATCAATTGTAAAAGAATTTCCAATATTTCCTGGAAGGGGAGAAAAAAATACATGTTAAAAAAAAAAAAAAGAAGCAACAGAGGGCCGGGGATTTAGCTCAGTGGTTTCGCCGCCTGCTGCTCAAATGCAAGGACCCGAGTTCGCTCCCCAATACCAAAAAAAAAAAAAAAAAAAAAGAAGCAACAGAAGTAGTAGTTGAACAAACAGAAACAAAAATTAAGTAGAAATGTGGGAGATAAAAATAGTTGAATGGAACCTTAAATTTGTTTCATTTTTCTATAACTGAAACAAGGTATGATTTTTCTTTTAGCCATAAATTATGAAAAGCAAGAAATAGAAGAAATGTCACTCTCTGATTGGAAGTGTTGAAGACAGTTATACTTCCATAAACCAGTTAATAATTTTCTAACCGTCCCTCAAACTCCTTCTAAAATGCTTTTATAATGTTAGCATTTAGCAAATGCAATTTTTCAAGATTCTTGCTCATAACAAAAGAGAAACTTTTAATTCACTAAGAAAATTTACATCAAAAGAGCTGTCCTTTATTTTAAATATTGAGGAATAATTCTGTGTAACTCACTCTACAGGTTTTAAAGATTTTTAAGGGAACTCAACCTTTTTTAGGTCAGTTCATCTCCTTGAATATAGTTCCAGGGGCAATTCTGCTTCCACCAAGACATCTGGGGACACCTGTGGTTATTACAGCTTGGAAGGAAAAAGGTGCTACTGGTATCTAGTGGGAGAGAACAGGGAGGCTGCTGAACATTCAACAATGCACAGCATGGCTCTCCACTGCAAGAAGTTACCTGGCCCAAAATAGCAACAGTGCTGAGGCTGAGTAACAAACTACTAGGACAGACTGTTTTCCTTGGTTTTCTTGGAACTTTTTTGGGCCATACTCTGGAATACCCATAGTTTTGCATCTTTTGAAGGAAAGAGTTCTCTGCAGTCCTTCTGGCTAGGATCAAGGTAGTATAAAGGTAATGAGTTTGGATCCATCCATGAGCCCTCCATCCCTTTTTTATGAACAAGCATCCAGAATTCAGTATCCTAGTCATAGTTCTGAATTTATTTTCCTCAAATGAACTATTCTACTTACTCAAAACAAAGTTCACTTGCCATTTAACTGCTTTCTCAAATTCTTATTCTTCTAGGTTTGCAGTTAGTATGGCATTTTACAGACCAAAACTACTTAGTGTGATCTGCAAACTAGGAATTAACCAAGCACTTCTTTGTCCAATTCATTTACAGTCAACACTTCCTTCCTTTAATACATTTTCCAAAACTCCATGACAACATTTTCTGAAGCCAGACCTAGCCTGGTTTTCATTAAGTCTGCCTGGCTCCTTGTCCAGGCCCCAAAGCAGAGCCTGTCTGCAACAGGGAGGAGGCCCATGCTTTTCCATGGCCCGAACCCTGGCCCAAGAACAGGGTCCTGCTGCCTTTGCCAGGTTGCTCAGACACTAATTTCCAGCCTATCTGTATTTAGAGGAAGTACTCTTTCATTGCATTATAGGCAATTACCAGAGATCAAAGATCCTTTTCTCATTTTACCTGTGAATCACCCTCAGCTTCCAAAACTACAACAAATTACATGGCCTGACAGGAAAGAATATGGTGACCTTTGGCAGCTGTCTTTATTCCACCTCTCAGAATTTCCTGTATCTATACTTATAGAGCAGCTAACCTGCCGAAGTTTATACTCATTTACCTATATGTACATCTGTCTTATTTTCTACAGTTGAAATCTTACTTTGCCAATAAAGTTCCAAATATGCAAGTCTTCAAAGTGAAGGAATAAACTGAAATTCTTAGTGCTGAAGCAGGCTGCTAGGCTCAGAATGCACTGCTTTCTCCAAAACTTGCTCCTGGCCTCCAGCCATACTGGCATCTTCCTTGCTCCTCCATCCGGAGCACACATGCTCCATCTCAAGCCCTGTGCTTTTGGTGTGTCCTCTCCTGGAACAGCCCTCCCCAGCTCTTCTGAATACCTGATGGGCCTCCGTGCAATGTGATGGTGAGGCATTCCCTGGCCTCCCTATTCAGTGTGGCTGTTTCTACTTTACCATGTTTTTCTTTCATAGTATGTCTAACAACCTTGTTCTTCATCTACCCAATGTGAAATTCAGAAACATTCTTTGTCTTCTAGAGTATCCTGACTGAAATAGGTGGCTCAGAGCTTTTCACTGATATCAAGGTTAAACAGGAACCCTAAATAAAAAGAAATTAGATTTACACAGGAGAAGGTAATGACATCGTATTTTCACAGGAAACAATGATGGCTCCTGACCGGCATAAATGTGTTCCTGCTAATAAGAACACTCATTCACCAAACACTGAAATACAGGCATGGTATTTGTGAACAAATTAATAAAGCAGTGTATCACATAAGTTAGTTCTAGGCTGGAGGCTTATTCCTCCACTTTAACTGAAATTTCGTAAGCTCAAATTGTTTGCTGTATTTAAACAGGGAAATTGTCTGGACAAACAAGCCAGTTTTTGCTCCAAAGTTGTGACTATTCTGTCTCTTGCCTGCAGGGCATGTAAAGGAGAAGGGCAGGCCAAGTCTCTTTCTTCCTGTGGCTGACAAGCTGTAGATGTGCAGTAAGGCCTGATGAGGATATGGCAATCTCTCCTATGTTTGAACTCTAACTACATAACATAAATTTGAGGAAGAAAGTCAACTCTAATCAATAAATATACTTTGCCAATGTCTATTTCCAGCCACTACAACAGTTGTGAAGGAAAATCCTAATAATCTGCTCTTTAAAATAACATGAGGAGAAGAAAACACCATACAGCAAATGGGACTGATGTGTCTCTAACACATAACTGTTACTGAAACTATCTTTTAATTAAATTCCTTTTTCCCTAATCAGACAAAACCTTTTGCTTAATAAATTGCTGTTAATTAAACATGCTATGTTATGGATGGAATTTATAACTCATCTTTTGAAATTTCTTAAATGTAATCTGACACAAATTAGAAGCAGCTGATTATGAATAAACTGTTAAATGAAAGACAGTATGACTATTATACAGTTTATGCTATACCAAGAGATGTATATAACACACACATTTACTAAATTTTAACAGTAGTGGTTTCCTACAAAGTAACTGTTTACCACAGTTCTATATTATCAAAAGTATTTTTAAAAAATGTTAAAAGTCCCAATTTCACATCAAATGGTCCAATGGTACCATCTATTCTTTGAAGCAAGATAGAATTCCATTCTTAGAATACCAAATTACTAATCCCATCAGTCATTAAAAGTATTCAAAGAATGCACATGCCTTTTTGCAGACACCAACAATCATATTTTAACCACCCAGTTGTTGAAAATTATGTGAAAGCTAAGGGAAAGTTTAACATTTTCTCCTACATAAACGCAGTCAGTTTGTCTATGACAAAATTACTTATTGAAATGCTCAGGCATGCACAAAAGGAATGCACTGTTTTTCTAACTGTTAAATTCTGAAGCAATGGAAAAACACTTCATCTTTATTCAAGGCACTAACTACACTACAATGCATTTTAACACTGCAATCAAAGGCAGTACATAAAATATTATTTGTGAGTAATGAACTCAATTTGGTTGTTTTAAGGAAAATAAATGAAATTTCAAATGTGTAAAAAATAAAAATAGTTTAGCCATATAAAGTGTACTGGTAAATATTTTGTTAAAATTACTCTCCACTTATGCAGATTTTTATTTTAAGATATACAGATAATCTAGACCTCTACTGATTATAATGCCTAGGGGAGATCATTTCTAAATAGGTTAAGCTCTGGACTTAAAAGTCAAACCAAATATTGCAATCTCTAAGATGTTCATAAACACAGAAGAATGAGACTGTATTTCTTGTACTAACAATGGCACTGAGAAACTTGGGAAATTAAACTGTCTTTTCAGCATTATGATTATCATTTACTCAGAGTATTTGGCATGGGTAGGAAAAGTCCCAAAGCAGCATAATTTGTAACTTTATAATCATGTACGCTAAAGCACACACACCTGTGGACCAATGGTGACTCTATCAAACAGGCATGAATGCCTCTTCCTTGGCATATGAAATGAGCTTCATAAGTCCATGGAATGAATACATGAATGAGTGACCAGAGCATAAAACAGAACAGAGAATAAAAACACTTCACGCTGCCATGATCACTTCTTGATGATGCTCCTTGTTATCACCAGCAGGACCCTGGATTTCTTGCTGATCTTCCCTATCCAGAATTGCCTAGGCCTAAAGCTCCAGTGGCCTTCCTGCCCTTGTTGCCCAAAGGCATGAAACAGCAGGCCCCTCAACGTTTTTTTCCTAGTCTCAGATCCTACTCTCTGACTTACTGCAACAATCCAACTCCATGCATGAAAACTCAACTTTTAAAAGCAGATGAGGGTGAAAGTTGGGGCAAGGGGTGTCCAGGAGGTAAGACACTATTTTTCTGTGAACTAATCTCAGGAAGAACTGGATAAATCAGCATTCTGTCAAAAAATTCCATGCTCTATCCAAAAGAAAATACTTTTTGATAAAAAGTAAAATGTTTAATTACTAGGCTAAGATTTTCCTAAGTGTTTCATAGTTAACCAACAGTGTACAGATGAACAACTGTGGTTAACATAATTTCAGAAATACTGAACTGGTCAAACAAAATTTTCCTTTCTGCAGGATTTCTCCAAAGTCTTCCTATATGCTAATACTGTGACTCTCCAAGAAGTGTGGGTGCCTAAACTTACTGGGACTATCTTTGCTCTCTAATGTGTTAAAATTTAAGCTAAAAAAATTTCCTTTACACTAACTTGTAAAATGGTAGATAAATATCTCTATTCAAGCAATATACAGAATTGTTACATCTAGAACTAATTTCAGAAAAGAAATATAATTTAACATATGCAAAATTGAAACTCTAAAAATACCTGATTCAATTGAGTACAGCACTTCAGCATTTTTCCCCTTGTCTTTGTCCAGAGCTGTAACCTGCAACACAACTGAGCCAGCAGCTGCTGACTCATAGACCCGCCCTTCATAGGAGGAGCTGGTGAACCATGGGGCATGGTCATTCGTGTCACTGACATTCACAATAATCCTTGCAAAGTTGCGTTTCACAGGGACATCCTGATCCCGTACCTACAGGAATCATTCAGCACATTATTAGTTTTCTGGGATTTACTTTCTTATGGGTTAAAAAAAAAATCACTATTACTGTCAAACACATAAAACCTTTCAGGAACCAAATGGGCAGAAGAATGAACAGATGCCATACCATGACTGTGAGAACATGCTGGTGAACAGCTTCATGATCAAGCTTTTCGGAAGTAGAGAGAGAGCCGGAGGCAGGATCAAGACGAAATTTCTTGAGACTCAATGGGTCTATACTACTCTGAAGAGTATAGATTAGTTTGTTTTTCTCATCCTTATCCATAGCACTGATTTGCAAAATTTCTGTTTCTGGCACTGTATCTTCAGGAATAACAACCTCATATTTTGAAGTGGAAAACTGGGGGCGATGGTCATTTGTATCTATTACTTTGATGAGAACCTGTAATAAAGGACAAAATGACTCACATAATAATATTCCTAGTTATGGTTTTAATATTTAATAAGTGAGGGAAAAACTGTATGTGCATGGAAAAAAATCTGGTATTTTAGAAAAAGGAAACACAAATGTGAGAAATAAAAGCAAATATTTAGAATACAATTTTTAAAAAATTTTTGTTGATATATTACTTATTTAAAATATAAGCAAAATAATGAAGGTATCTCTAAATTCTTAAAACTAACTTTGGAGATGTAACACTGTTCACAGTAAACATTTATTTCTGAAAGGTAGCTTAATTTCTCTTAGATCTCCATATAGGTGATATCTTTGTAGATTACTCATGGAAAGAAACAGAATTTACTTTGCCAGAGCTTATGGAACACTGATTTGCTAAATTAGATTTGAATCTACAACTACTAATCTATTGACGCAAGTGAGATAGATGATTATGCTATTTAAATTTTTATTCTAATCCAAGATTCCAAATTTCAGTTAAGTTTTTAAATATACAAAAAGAAAGATTAGAAATGTTTTTAGGGCTGTAAATGTAGCTCAGCAGTAGTGTGCCTTCCTAGCATGCATGTGGCCCTCAGTTTAATCCCTAGTACACACAAAAAGTTTTGAAATCCTATTTCTGTGACTTGAAAAATCTACATATATATGTAATAAAACGTTTGTTTCTTAAAAGCAATAGTTAAAAAGATAAACCCTTTTAAATATCTCAAGATATATAAAATTTTTGCATGTAAAAAGTGGAAGTTAAAAAATTCAGTCTTGAGCTAAATTTAAAAACAACAAAAACCATCTACATTCACAGTAAGAAGATTCCTTTTCAGGATGAAAAGATGTACTATATATGGATAAGGCATAGTGGAAATCAATACCAATCATAAAAGATGGTTTCTAGTTTACAAACCAGAAATCTGAGCTTTGCTGGCTCCTAAGGACAAGTGTTTGCTAATTCCAGTGGTGGAGGTGGCTTAAGTCCTAGCAAACACAGCTAAAGCTGTTAACCATACTGGTGCCAGAGGACAGGGAAAGGCCTTTCCGTGACATAGTACCTGTGTTCTCCCAGAATACTACACCAATGACAGACTTTTAACACTGAATTTTTATGGATACTAAATTCATTCACCAAAACACAAAAAGATTTTTATGTAAGTAAACACTTAAAACTATGATTGAGAAGGTATGACTATAAAAGAAATTTCCATTAATTAAATCATGATATACCCATTTCCATTATAAATTTAAAACTTATTTTTATCATAGAGTGGGTATTAGACAGAGAGGTTTAATGCTACTCCAAGATCAATTAATCACTATTAAGTAGAAGGGCAGAGAGTTTTTTAAAAAATCAGTTTTGATAAGGCAACTCAAATGAAACATTTATTGGGCAATTAAGTGCTCTGCATTTCCCTACATAGGACTAAGGGTGTGGAACAAGTGTACACAACAGCCCATGTCCTCATGAAGCCTTTAATCTCAGCAGGCAAAGTCTAACTATGTCTTATATATAACTATATCATGTGAGGTGTTAAGAATCTAGAGATTGGACATTCAGAAAGCTTTTAAGGAGGTGGACTACTCTGGCAGCAGGCAGCACAAAATGAATTGCAGAGACAGAATGGACACAGGAAGTGGAAAAGTGCTGGGGGTAAATCAGAATGTCAAGAGCCCACTCTCAGTGTTCATATGCAACAGCTACCACTGCCTGAGTACTTACTGGGTGTCCGGTTCTAAGATCTTTAAGGGCAAGCACTCTGTATCACCTCACTTAACCCTCATAAAATCTCTGTCAGAGTGATTAACACTGCTGTCCCCATGTTCTAGATGAGAACATGGAAGTTCAGTGTCTCAGATTATTCATGGATAGAAGAAGGAGGTGGAACCAGCCTAGGTACCTATCAGCAGATGAGTGGATAAAGAAATTGTGGTATATTCACATAGTATCATTCAGTCATAAAGAATGAAAATTAGTCATTTACATTAAATGGATGGATCTAAAGATCATCATGTTGAATGAAATAAACGAGGCTCAGAAAGACAAATATTGCATGTTCTTCACAATATGTAGAATCTAAAAATAATGACAATAAAGTAAAAGGAGACTATTATCGGACAAGAGGAAGGGAAGACAGGGGTACAAGGCAACAAGAGGCAGAGTATGATCAAAATATAATGTTGTACACATTGAACACCCCCTAAAAATGTGAAACTGGGGGAGCATATACATATATGAATCTGTCAAAATGAAACTCATTAATCTACATAGGCAGTGTGTATTAATAAAAATGTGAATTAAAAAAAGAGGCAAACCAAGCTTTCTGCTCCAGAATGTGCAATGTCCATGCTCAAGACAAAGTGAAAGAAAATATGAGAGCAAAGATGTTTCAAAGAAATGTTAATGGATTGGGGAAGTTACATGGAGATGTAACTAAGATAAAGCAAAGTGACTGGAGTTAGCACCTGATGGGCATCTGAAGCAGAGAGCCATAGGACAGAAACCAGGGAGAGGCGCACTTTCAGCAGAGCACTGGCATTCACGTTACTACCTTCTCCCAACTACTTTGCTGCAGAGGTGCCCTATGCGACCACAATGGTCTCCTAACCTTAAATCTGGCACCTGCTGCTACTGACCTGCTACTGACTTGCTCTGTTGTTCCTTGAGTTTTACTTACAAACTCACATCTCGCTAGCTTGCTCCAGTGCCTTATCCACACAGTCTAGATTTCTGTGTTCTTCTTCATTTGCTCTCTGTTCTGCTCTCTCTCAGATTTGTATCTCCCTGTTCTCAGTCTCAGACTAGAAATCTAACCCTAATTATGATTGTTCCCTTTGTCTCATACCATTAACAGTCGCCCTGGGCTCAGTAACCATTCTCTTATATTTTGACTTCCCTGGTGGCAATCCCTCAGGATAATATATCAAGGCCCTCTGAAAATGACTCAAAGTAAGTTACCCAAGTATAAATAACCAAAATTCAAGAGAAAAGAAACCTAGACAGTATTTCCTGGGTTTTATAGAAATTTTAGAGATTTACATCATATTTCATACTAATCTTTTAAGTACACTAATTAAAAATAGAGTTTTGGGGAAAGATTTATTTATTACTCACTTAAAATATATATGATAATTAGTAATGAGAATGCTTGACACAGAGGGCTATTTCTCTGGTTAGTCAATCCTGTAAACTATACCGTGCACAGTTACACTCTTGAAACCTTTCCCTTAGAACTATCCTGTTAGATTTATAATGATTTTTGATGTTTTGTTCCCATTTTCATGTTCTGAATTTAACTTCAGGGTCTTATTCTTAAAGAAAAATCAACTGATTTTGCTTGTCACTACAATGAAAGCTGCCACTGACAAAATGGAATTTTAATACCGCAGTGGAACTTTTACATGCAATCTCAAAATGACATCAAGAGCAGATAGTGTAGCATACAATATCAATCTTACCTACATTAAACGTCACAAGTATCTGAAGAGAGGAATAAGATACTCTTTGCAACTGGCTTTACATTATCTACTTCACTTACTAATTGAAAATATGTTGTATACTACTTTTGGTGGGGGGGGAGTTGTTACTGAGGATTAGACTCAGGGCTCTGGGCTGTATCTCTAAGTCTTTTTAAATTTTTTATTTTGAGACAAGGTCTCATTAAATTGCTAAGCTGTCCATGCTGGGCTCAGATCTTCTATCCTCATGCCTCAGCCTCACAGAGTGCTAGGATTACAGGTGTGTCTCACAATGCAATTTTATGACAGTCTTATTTTTTAATGCAATTAAATGATTTAGTAGATAACCCTCAAGATTTAAAATAGTGTAATCTAAAGATTGACAATGAATTCAGAAATACTGTATTTTTTCTCTAATCTTTAAATTCTGCTTTTCTAAGGACATATATATCACACACAAGCCTTTAGCTTCTACTACTCTAATGTAAGCTCCAAGAAGGCAAGATTATTGCTTGTGGTTATCTGATAATTCAGACTCCAAAATAATACTTGGCACATAACAAGTGTTTGCTAAGTAAATGAATAAATGAATGTCTCTGTCTCTTCCTGAAATCCCACAATGATTATTCATCCAGGAATGTTCCTTTTGTATCGCTCTAACAGCCCATACCAAGAAACCAAAGAGAATAAGAGAATTTAATTTAATTTATAGGATTTTAATATTTAGGTTGAAGCCCGGCAATCTGGTCATCTTTTAATCATGAGGTAGGAATAAATAAATGTGTTCAAGGAATCACTGGAACAATTTTATCATTTTTATACAGTCCCAGTTAAGTTGGCAGGGGCAAGATGGGGGGGGGGGTTGTAAAAAAAAAAAAGTAATTTTAAAGATCAATTATTTTAATCAGCTTTTGTGAAAATCACTTGCACAAATTCACCCTCAACAGGGAAACACTATAAAATACATTACATAGTTCAAACATCAATGCATAATAAAGAAGATTTTAATAGCATATCAAGAGTGTGGTTTGGTTTCAAGTCTTCTGTCACAATTTGCATAGCTGCTTAATCATAGGCAAAAGCCAAATCAGGATTTACAGTTGATTTTCTTTCTTCAAATACAAATTCTTGGTGTATACGCACTGACTTGTGATTTTACATCTTCAGAGGTCAAAATTAACTGCTTATATTGTCTGTGGGCCTGAAATCAGAACTGTATCTCAGTCACCCTCTGACAAATACATTATTAATAATTCACTTACCTGAGAATGGATAGCAGTGGTTCCATCCGTAGCCTCAACTGTGAGGTTATAGTTTGATTTCTGCTCTGCATCAAGAGGTTTGGCAATGACAATGGTTCCAGTGCCCTTGTCTATATCAAAGTGACTGTCAAAGTTGCCACCTAGTTTAGAATAGGATGGATAGAGTTAAAACAGGTCAGAGGATAAAAATCTGCTACTGTGTGGTTTTCTAATATTTTATGGCAGTGAAAAAAGATTTCTAATATAATGATCAAGATGAATCCAAGGAGTCAGCATTTGGAAAGGTAAGAGTGGCCAATTAAAAAGACACTGCTAAACAAACTAATCCCTAACTGTCAAGGAAGCCATAAATTGAGAGAAAGCAAGAAAGCAACTCTGAAAAGAGAAAAATATTGCCAATACTGCCAATAAATTAACTTCAATTTCCTTTATCAGAGGTTCTGAATATCTACTTAATTTATGTCAGTAACTATATAAAAATATCACTAGCAATTTAAAATTTTACTTCTTCCTTCTTTGTGTTACTGGAGACTGGATCAAAGGATTAGCACATGCCACGCAAGCACTTTAGTGCTGAGCCACATTTTCAGCCCACAAAAGTTTAATTATTAAAATAAATTTTGTGATACTTTGGGCCTAATTCTCTAAGAAAATAATTATTACAATAAAGGTTAACTCTGAAAAAAATAGTGGTAGTTAACTCTAATCAAATATTCTATCTATTACACTATTTAAAAACAATTTTCCCATTATTCTCATCTCATTTAATGAATCAAAAGTTTTTGTCCCAATAATGCTATCCCAATGTATTCTCAATTACATTAAAAAAGCTCTTTTCAAATCCACTGAACTTAATATACTTACATCAATGACAGGAAATGAAATGAAAATAAAAGCTTACTCCCATAATGAAGTTCTTCTATTCTAATCAAAAAGCAAAATAATATACACATACACAAGCTCTTAAGTCAAACTTAAAACTATGGATCTAGGAATGATGGTCAACATGTTTACAATTAAAATGGGTGACCAGGAGAAACTATGAAAGAAATAGCAATGAAAAATGGTCACTGGAAATAAAAAAAAAAAAATCAATGCTTTTATTTTAGATCTCATAATCTGAAACAAATTATGTGATCTCAGCAGATACCTTCTGCTGTACAGTTCAGGTCACAAGTCATCTGAAAGATGTAAAAAACTTCTCTAGCAAGTGTATCTCCTGGCACAGCCAAAAAGAGCAAGTAAGCATGGAAAGCAAGCACAGAACAGGAAGAGCAGTCAATCAAACCAGTTCCAAACACAGGAAGTATTAAACATTGAAGTCAGGTACTGCACAACAGCAACCCAGTATTCTGGAAATGTGAAAAAAGGTAAGAGAAAGTTTCATTACACTTAATGAGGAAGGTAATCGTTTCTCCCCTTAAACTATAATATAATGGTTTGAGAGGTGTTGTCAACAATTTCACATAATGATATAAACTGGAGAAAAAGAGCCCAACTGTCTAGTGTGAAAGTTCAAGAGGTAAAGCCTGTACCGCCTCTACCCTGTGACTCCTGCTGCTTATGACTCATCAGCTTCTACGTTCTGAAAGGATATCTAGGGTAACACAGAAGAGGGATGGAAGAGTGAATAGCAATATGAAATTCTCACTAGAGATAAATCAAACACATACTATTAATCTTAAGTATCACTTTAGAGCAAATATTGTGAAGAAACAATAAAAAGCTCTAAGATATCCAAGTTAATGTAAATTTTTAAAGTATACTGAATACAGTATTGCATTATAGGTCAGAGCTAAATTAAATGACAAAAAGGAAGAAATTACTTAGCCACGTAAATTTTAAGAGGGTGAATTAATTTAATGAACCCTGCTTTCTACTAAAACTGAGATAAATACAACTAAAAGTCAAGTCTGGCACCATAAATTTTAAGTTATACAAATCAAAACTTTAGGATTACTCCTTCTCAGCACTGACGTGTGATAGTCACATAGGCAACAAGGCACAGTTACTGTCAATATTCTAATCATCTTCACTAAAAACGATATGCCATGTTATATATAGTAAAAATTACAAATTGGGACCTTAGGTTTCTCTATACAGTAATTTCCTAATGTATTTAAAAAGTAAACAATACATTTTTAAAAACCTTTTATAAAAATACTGATGATTCTGTGAATACAGAGTATCTATTTTTTAAAAAGTTTAATAAATGTATGTTGTAAAAAATTCTGCAATCAAGTTTTATTATCATTTAAAGCAAATTCTTCATTCACAGGTCTCTTAATTTTAAATTCTGAGATGTGCACAAGAATCAGAAACCATACGCAGGTCTGTCTTCTATATAAGTTATACAAGGACAATGAAAACTGAGAAACTGAGCACTGCTTACCAATGATGTCAAACCAAAGAGGAGTGCCAGGAGGCTCAACAGATATTACTCCAATCATGTGAGCAACAGGATCACTTTCCATTACAGTAAAGGTAAAAAATGATTCTTCAAATGAAATTGGCTCTGGAGATGGTTTGGGTTTGGAGATCCACTCAATGTGCAGTCTAGTGGTTGATGACTTTTGAGGGCGACCATTATCAACTGCCTTGATCTATAAAGTATGAATGGGGATTAAAAACAGCAAATCAGAAGTTACATCCCATAACTGAAACACAGATTGGTTCAGTCTCAAACTGAGCTAATTTCAAATATTTAATATTCATATCTGGATATACTACATTTTAAAATGCTTGATGAAAAGAGCAACTGTTTCATAACTAAACTCAAAGTAAATAATAAACACCTGGAATGAGAGCTGAAAAGGAAAAAACAAACCCATACTTCTCAAACATTATCAAGCATTGCTTAACTATTAGGTCACAAACACTGAAGCCATTTACTGCATAAAGTTAGAAGAGATTCAAGACTAGGTCCACAGTCAAAGACTATGATCTTAACTCACTGAAAGAATATCATATTCTCCAGCTGCAGAGAACTTTTTGGATGAAACCACTCCAGTTTTTGGTTCAATAAAAAATTTGCCATGCTCATTTCCATCTTCAATGCTGTAGGAGATTTCTGCATTGGGACCCTCATCTTTATCTGTAGCTATGAGACGATACAGAGGCTCCCGTTTGGCATTTCTTTCTCGTTCTGGTTTTTCTCGCTCTGGGAGTCTGATTTTGTAGAACTTCTGCAAGAACTGGGGTTTGTTGTCATTTTCATCAAGGATTTTCACAATCACTCTTGCGATGGTTGATTTGGGAGGAGTGCCATTGTCTGTCACAGTAACCTGTTTTTTAAAGGTAAAAGATCAACAAAATTTTAAAGATATATAAAGTGAACAACTTCTTCCTAACAAACACTGGCATTTATTAGTATAAACGTCTATTGTTCCCATAATGCTACAGCCTATACATTCTGACAATGACCCTGTAAAAGAGGTACAGCAATCTCTTCCAGTTTTTGTTGTTGTTTTGGTACTGAGGATGGAACTCAGGACCTTGAGCTTGTGAGGCAGGGGCAGCACCACTGAGGTAAATCCCTGGCCCAATCTCTCCCAGTCTTACAGACAGGAACCCAGGGAGCTGGGCAATGGTAAAGAAACAGCTGTCCGCTCTTTTGGCTCTTTCATAACTATGCAGTCTCTTTGCCTTGTGAATATTAAGTGAACACTATCAAAATAATAAATATCAAAATAGTTTTAGATTAAGAGATACATAAAGAATCTGCTTTGAATATTTAAAGAGCCGTCTTTTAAAAATACACTATGTTGGTCAGGGATTTAGCTCAGTGGTTTCACCATCTGCTGCGCAAGTCCAAGGACCCAATTTCAATCCCCAGTACCAAAAAAACAACAACAACAAAAAAATAAAACAACAACAAAAAAGGAATCCCTCAGAACACGCAGAATCAGCCCTCTGCAGACAGGCAGGTCTGTGCACGCCCTACCAAGGTCCTGAGTCACACAGAAGACGCTGAATCACCTCACTGCAGACAGGCAGGTCTGCCCACACCCTACCAAGGTCCCCAGTCCTGCAGAACACAGGCCGAATCAGCCCGCTGCATACCGGGAGGTCTGTGCACCCCCTACCGAGGTCCTAAGTCGCACAGAAGACACCGAATCAGCCCCCTGCAGACAGGGAGCCACCTGATTCCACACTACAAAGACGCAGAGGACACCAGACCACCAGACCAAGGTACTGAGTCCTGCTGTTTCTGGCCCAGAGGTAGGGGTATCTCAGCCGTGGTTCCACTGCTGCTGGTTCAGAGGAAGGGACTTCCCAGTCACCATCACGCCCACTGCTCCCAGCCCAGAGGAAAGGGCTTTTGGGTCACCTTCTGTGCCCCTGCTCCTGGACCAGAGGAAGGGGCTTCTGGGCCACCATACCTCCCATGGCCACCGGCCCAGAGGGAGGGGCTTCTGAGCCACCATCCCACTGCTCCTGGTCCAGAGGAAGGGGCTTCTCAGCCACCATACCTCCGGCTGCTCCCAGCCCACAGGAAAGGGCTTTTGGGTCACCATCCCTACTGCTGCTCCTGGCCCCTGTCCCACCTCACCCAGCTCAGAGGAGGTAATCCGTGCAGGCGCTAACAGCCCCCCACCCCAGTTGAAATGAG